TTATTCATTCAATGAAACAAAAATAAACAGCGCACTGTATTTTAGTCGAAATCTTTTATCTACGTAATTTGTAACGTGAGAAGGACTTCCTTCTTCTTTATGAAAAAATTGTTCTAAAAAATAATTAATCTATGTACATTAAAGAGGATGCTGACTGATTGACTGACTGACTGACCCATATATCAACACACAGCCAAACAGCTAAATAATTGAATTTTGAAATTTTGCAGATAAATTCTTTATATAGTGTAAATGTGTAGAAAGAAATTTGTTTGAAAAATTTAAAATTCAACCCCTAAGGGGGTAAAACCGATATTGAAAATTTGTATAGAATTTTGTCACCTGAAACTTTAAATTTAGGCTCATAGTTCAAAACATAAATCAATATGTTTATTGATATTTGAAGTATTCATCATAAAGGGGTGAAATAGGGGATGAAAATTTGTGTGGGAGTTCTGTTGTAGTTGAAGCAAGTAGCTAGAAGTACAAAACTTAAGGCGCTGTAAAGTAAAAAATAAACACACACACTTTTAATTTTATAATAATAGTAAGGATAAGTTATATAAAAAAAAAATCTATCAAAAACTCAGAACAAATCAAATGTCATCAATCATCAATCATAAAGTCCTAAAACATCGGAACTGTTCCATGTAATTTGCCTACACGCGAACACAACAAACATTAATTGTAAACCTTATCACTCTACAAATAGAGGCTAAACGATTTGACAGAATTAAATTCCATCGACAATTCGCGTGATTTTCTTTTGACTTTTGATTCCGAAAATGGCGGGCTTGCGTATTACTCATAAATATGGCCGAATTTACCAAGTCAACGCTATGCAAATGGTATTAATGAACATGTGTTTTTTTTTTATCTCGACTTCAATAATATAGTAAAAGAAACTTTCTTTAACAGAAAAACTGCTTGGGCACCGCTGTCTCACACGATCTCGCACACTTAATTTCTGCCGCCAAACATGATTGGAGGAAAAAGATTGTTAGTACCGGGGATTAGTAACCCCATTGCTAGGGGGGAAAGGGATTGTTAGCAATGGAGTTTGACAGCCCCATTGCTACCAATATCCCCTATTAGGTTGACCTCCCCATGGAAACCATAATGAAAAATTCTTGTTGAATTCGTCACGATGGGCTAACAGGAATGGCAACGCATGGGGGGTATCATGGGCCAAACAGTATACTCTGTTATGTCCATGGTACTGCTCGTATCTATAGGCGACAGTTACCACTTTCCATCAGGTGGGCCGTCAGCTTGTTTGCCATTCTAAGTTGTATAAAAAAAATATATATATATATATATATATATATATATATATATATATATATATATATATATATATATATATATATATATATATATTGTAGGTTTGTTTCAGTCATGCATAACTACGTTATACTGTGCCCACCATGCTTCCAGTACGCATGATTAGAGTCAATTTACGTGCCGAAAAGGGAGCGATTACAATCGGATATGGCACGAATGTGAGTTAGTGGGCTGCTCTCGCCGCTGTTACAAAAAAAAACATGTTTCTTTCAACCGACTTAACAAATAATTCTTAATTCGGCGGTGTTTTTTTTTTATTTATTTTAGGCCTTAGGAATGGCAACGCATGGGGGGAATTATGGGTGAATCAGTATAGTCTGTTATGTCCATGGTACTGCTCATGTCTATAGGCGACGGTTACCACTTTCCATCAGGTGGGCCGTCAGGTTGATTGCCATTCTAAGTTGTATAAAAAAAATTCGCTTTACATTTATTTCAAAGAGTAAAATAATATTTTACGAGTTCAATGACGTTAGTTTAGTCTTAGTATAACGTACCTATTCTTTAGCTATTGCCATTGCTAGCAATATACCCTGACAGGTCAACCTCCATATGGTCCCTCCCGGAAACCATCCTGCTGAATTTCAAGTGTATTTATCACGATGGGCTAACTGACCTGCCTTTTCACACTCACCTATCAGGGTGGAAAGGGATTGTTAGTAATGAGGTCTAATAAACCCATTACAATACGCCACGTCATTGTCGACGATGACGTATCAGGTCGACCTCCACGTGGTTCCCCCTAGAAACTATCATGGTTAATTCTAGTAGAATTCGTCACGATGGTCTAACTGACCTGCTTTCATCGTCACCTATCATCGCTCCCTGGTGCCCCGTTAGCGCAGGCGGGGTTATCATTCCATTATCACCCATTTAAAAAAAACTCACCTGTCATCCCTCATTGGTGCCCCGCCAGCGTATACCGTTAACGCAGACGGGGTTGCCATTCCATTGTCATGCATTAAAAAAAAACTTACCTACCTACTTTGCTTGTTCATCGGTTGCATAAAATAAGTGTGTCCACTTGTCAAACGAGTATAATTAATTTCCCCGTCGCCTACCAACCTACAGTAACTACATAACACATAATCGCAGTCTCATCTCACATTAGGGTTGCCAACTTTTTTACAAGAAATAAAGTATACTCAGATTTGAGACGACTATTAAACAGTATTTTAGAAAAAAATAACAGCATTTTTTTTTATGGATGAAAATGGTATGGTAACCCCGCCTGCGCTAACGGGATACGCTGGCGGAGCACCAGTGAAGGGTGATCGATGAGAATGAAAACAGGCCAGTTAGCCCATCATGATGAATTCATCAATAACCTAACCATGATAGTTTCCAGGGGGAACCGCGAGGAGGTCGACCTGGTTGGGTATATTGCTAGCAATGTGATTTTCAGTCTCCATTACTAACAATCCCTTTCCCCCCGTCTCATCTCACATTAGGGTTGCCAACTATTTTTACAAGAGGGGAAAGGGATTGTTAGCAATGGAGTTCGACATTACTAGCAATATACCCTATCAGGTCGATCTTCACGTGGTTCCCCCTGGAAACCATCGTGAACAATTCTTGTTGAATTCGTCACAGACTAACTGACCTGCTTCATACTCACCTATCATCCCTCACTGGCGCCCCGCCGGTGTATACCGATAGCGCAGGTGGGGTTACCATTCCATTATCACTTATTAAAAAAACTATTTTTACAAAAAAATAAAGTATACTTAGGTCTGAGACGAATATTAAACGGTATTTTAGAAAAAATTAACAGCATTATATTTATTTAATATTTTTAAAATTAAATTTTTTTAGAATTTCTCGTCCAATTTATTAATTTACAGTATTTTTAAAAGCTTCATACGCCTCACCGCAATTGTAACTAAAGATAAAATGAGCTAGGCCTTATAAAGTTAAGCATTTTGACGCTAAAGAGTATTTTGTACACTTTTTGTTCAACAATAAAACGTATAATGTAGTGAAAAACAGTATAGTTGGGGGGGGGGGGGGAAGGGATTGTTAGTAATGGAGACTGAGAATCCCATTGCTAGCTATATACCCAACCAGGTCGACCTCCTCGCGGTTTCCACTGGAAACTATCATGGTTAATTCCTGATAAATTCATCATGATGGGCTAACTGGCCTGTTTTCATTCTCATCTATCACCCTTCACTGGCGCTCTGCCAGCGTATCCCGTTAGCGCAGGCGGGGTTACTATACCATTTTCACCCATTAAAAAAAAACAGTATAGTTGGCAACCCTATCTCATATCCACTTTATCTGCATATTGTGCGCCAAATATGGCGGGGACCGGTTTTGCAAATATTACGTAAATACAACGGGACTCGGCTATATTTGGTGGCTCGCTTGTACGCGTATTAAATTGTAGGTACTTGCAACATGTCAATATACTTACCACCAGGGGGAAAGGAAACATCCTTAGCAATACAGCATATTAGGACCTACACGTGCTTCCCCCTGGAAACCATCGTGAACAATTCTTGTTGAATTCATCACGATGGGCTAATTGACCTATTTATCCTCATCTATCATCCTTCACTGGTGTACCATCGATATATACAGATAGCGCGGATGGGGTTACAATTTCATTATAACCCACTAAAAAAATACCACCGGATATATTACGTAACGCCATCTAGTATCAAATTAAGAACTTTTGTTTTATGAAAGATCTTTTTCTTCTAAGTATCTAATGATTGTAATCAGCGATTCCTCTCTTTGGACATATTTAGTGAAGAACTTATATAAAAAACAGGCGAGGGAGGGACTTCGCACAAATTCAACATAAGTGGAACATCATTTTTAAATTGTTATTTTTATTTTTTTTAATGTCAAGTACTTATTTCGTTTATTTGTTGTGTTAATTTATTGTGGCAACTCCATTGATGTATGTTATTACTATATTTATTCTTTGTGTTTTAGGTATTGTATATTTTCCTATTAAATTTAAATAAACAAATAAAAATAAGCTCTCTACTAGCTTCGTACGAGCGTATCAATAAAATAGACACATTTCTAAATGGCGTATCAGTTGTATAAGGCGAGGGATGGGCAACAGCGTCCCTCTTAAAACCTATCCAAAAACTAACTGCAGCAGCAACAAAACTGTGTCGTCCCGGCTTAATATGGGCCATCCCTTCCTGTCCCGTGGGTGTCGTAAGAAGCAACTAAGGGAAGAGAGATGGTTAGCAGTGTTCTTAAAACAGCACCAAAGCTTAATTGTGGTTGCTAACCAAGCAAGCAAGGGGGAAAGGGATTGTTAGTAATGGAGACTAAGAATCCCATTGCTAGCAATATAACCAACCAGGTCGACCTCCTCGCGGTTCCACCTAGAAACTATTATGGTTAATTCCTGATGGATTCATCATAATGGGCTAACGGGCCTGTTTTCATTCTCATCGATCACCCTTCACTGGCGCTCCGCCAGCGTATCCCGTTAGCGCAGGCGGGGTAACCATACCATTTTCACCCATCCAAAAAAAAAACCCATCTGCAAAGTGTGGCGACTACTGTCAAAACCCCCCTTATGGACGCCTATGTTCAGTAATGGATAGCTAACGGCTGATTTGGCGATTGTCCTCGATCGCTAAAGATTAGTGGGCTCATATGTAGTATGACTTTAAAAAAAAAAAGGATTGTAGTCAAAATAATATATTGGCAGTTATGCCTAAGCGTCGGCGATGGTGACTTCCACTTCCACGCCCGGCTCGATGTTGATCGAGGTGATCTGCTTCACGATCTCTGATGGAGAGTGCAGGTCGATCACCCGTTTGTGGATCCTCATCTGGAACCGGTCCCATGTCTTGGAACCTTCACCGCAGGGTGTCTTACGGGTAGTGATGCGCAGAACCTTGGTCGGCATGCGAACGGGTCCCTGGAATTTGGTGATATTTGTTTGCATTATTTAAAAATATATGAAATTATTGGCGTGTGTGTTCCAGCATAGAATCGGCCACCCCTTCCTTCCGAGTGGGTATCGTAAGAGAGGACGAGGGATGGTCTAAATGCAGATATGATGCACAGGACAGAAAAAAAGTTAGTCGCTTCTTACGACACCTACGAAAAAAGAAGATACACCACGCGAAGAGAATATGACACACGCGAAAGGAAGGGCTGTCCCATTGTATACAGGGACTACACATATGTAGCATTAAAAACTTAAAATAATTAAACTAAATTTCTAATGTAAGTAGTATATTCATTTATTTTAACATTTATTATATAAGTAGGTAGGTATTATATGTATTTATAGTGTATGTATTTATGTAATATTTTATTATATATTTTAATATTTTATTTAACTGTATATTTGTTTATGTATTAATAGTTGTAGCAAGTCAGCTGCCCGCTAACGAAATGCTTTCTTACTGTACTGGGTTGACTGGAAGAGATCTCTGTCAGAGATAAGTCCACCCTTGCTCACAACATTTATAAATAGATTATTTTATATGTAACTTACAAGTGCAATAAAGAATATATATATATATATATATATATATATATATATATATATATATATATATATATATATATATATATATATATATATATATATATATATATATATATATATATATATATATATATATATATATATATATATATATATATATATATATATATATATATATATATATATATATATATATATATATATATATATATATATATATATATATATATATATATATATATAAAACCACATTTTCTACTATGTATAAATGTGATCAATAGAGAGTGAGTAAAAATAAAAAATAAGTGTACCCCTCCTATGAGCAGAGTATGTTATGAACAAACCACACACTGCACTTTGAAGAGTTTACTGTAGCGCCATTCGGGTAGACACAGTGGCATGAGACATACTGCGACTTCAATTTGACGCACATTGTACAAAACAATTTACTGAACTAGGTGCTATCTTGCAGAAGTCCATATTTCTAAATATTTGATGAGTATTTTGTTTAATTCTGCTACCATTAGTATATGTGTCTGCCAATACTCGAAGATTGACCACCACTATTACTACCAGAAGTTCTAAAACCTTCCATATTAGTCATCAATCTCCGACTGCCATTTTGTTCTTGCATTTTTTTTTACAGGGGGCAAGCGAGCATGCGGCTCACTTGATGGTAAGTGACTACCGCCGCTTATAGTCACCCACAACACCAACGGCATTGCAAGTGTGATGCGGAACTGGGCTGACTGTACTTGTTGGAGTATTAAGTTTATTTCAATAAAGTTCCAAAAATATCAATATATTGTTCATAGATGGTAAATTTTTTTTATTGGATGTCTTATTTTTGGAAGGTGGCAACTCCTGTATTTTTTTTTATTAGTGTGCTGTCTTGTCTGTGGTTTTTTTAAGAAAAATATTAATGTAAAAGTGTTAAATGAAAAATAAATATTTCAAAATATTGTCTGCTGTTATTATAAAAACACCACTTCAAGCTTCAATAGAAATTTACATCAGCACACACGCACATAGGCCCAGATGAGAGGCTTAGCATGGAAAAGAGAATCCAATTTAAATAACATTACATTTACACAAATGGTAGCGGATAAAGTAGCAAAACAAAGTAATTCTAATCAACTAGTAAGTAATATGGACTTCTACAAAATAAGACAGTAGAGTAAAATAGGACACAAAATTATTCACATTGCTTAAGGAAAAAAGCATACCTTAACACGCAGCTTTTGTTTCTTGGCGCCGTTGATGAGGTCGGCGCACACCTTCTCCAGCGAGCGCACGTTGCGCGACGTGAGCGTGATGCGGATGCGGTGCACCGGGGAGATCTCCGCCTGCGGCTTCTCAATGTCCTTGCCCGACACCACAGCGGCTGCCTGCAAACGTACCATCATTGCACTATTTTAAATATACATTTCTTTATTTACACATACACTAAACAAACTTTTTACTTAAGTAATATCATTCATTAGATTAGATACACTCTCTTTTTAAGAAAAAAATATATAAATATACATGTTACATAAATACAAAATAACATAAAAGTTAATATTACACAATTATATAATAAAATCATTATTTTATTTTAAAATTACAGTACAATATATCGCAGTGTTTCCCAACCTTTTTTGTTCCATGCCCCACTTGAACTTTTCTAAAATTTTTATGCCCCCACACATAATTTTTCCCGACAAAGTTTACTTGACAACTCTAATCGCCCAGTTGATATTTTGGTAATGTTAAACGAAATTATACCTAATAAATATTTTCAATGTTTTTTTTTTATTTACTTGCTTGTTAAATTTGGCACTGATATCTACTACTAGCATTGCATTTAAATGGCCTGTAGCAAAAGGATTAAAATCACTTTGAATTGATTTTTTAATTGATAACCCCCTTAACTATCAACTTAGCCCCCTGTGGGGTGTGGTCTCCACATTGGGAAACACCGATATATCCCATTATTTTATTAATATCTAATATTTTTTTTCATTTGCTTGTTAGTTGCACAATATATTTAAATTTTGTTATTCTGTTTACCTTAGACTGGTACATAATGTCTTACTTATGGTGTGAAGTCTGTCTAGTGCACTGTCTAATAGGTGTAATAAAGTTTTATAATAAAATATTCTATATTACATCTGTACATTACAAAGGCTGTGGGAGGAGGGATTGTTAGTAATGGGATCTAACAACCCCAACATAGTCCCCTCTGGAAATTGGGGTAGTTAATTGTTGATTAAGTTATCATGGCAACAGAGACGAGTTGACCCGTCTTCCTATCTACCCTATCTAGACTATCAGTGTAGACATAAATCATGCACAGAGATGCACAACCATTGGTTGGACACATGGTTCCATGGTGTGAGGATGTCGATGAAATTTAAAATAAGTAGCGGATGAGAACTATTAAAAGTATGGATCAGTGGGCCTAGTACTAGCAATATAACCTGTCAGGTGGATCTCCTTGCAGTGCCATTCTCCAAACTCTTGTTTGATCCCTCATAAATTTACCATGATGAGCCAACTGACACTTTCATGATTTAATTTAAGATAAAAACCATCCTTAAAGGAACCCATTGATCAAAACTAAAATATATTTCAAAACTAAATATTTATGGCTTATGTCCAGCAGTGGACGAATAATGGCTGAAACGATGATGATTCCATTAATAGAATATGGCATATAAAACGATTATTAAGTACTACAATTACAAATACTTAAAAGGTCATCGCGTGCAAACGAAGTATTTTTGATGTAACGATTATTTATATTTAATGGTGTATAGTATAAAAATAGAAAAAAATAGATGTATTTTAACTAAAATGTATTCCTATCTCCTAAAAAACAAGTGCTAAATGCAAAATGTGAATTTGGCGCTTAGCACGTGTACAAACATAACCTATTTCGTGGTCACCATTTATTAATAAATTTAAGCTGTAATTGTAGTAATAAGATTGAATAAATAGAAATGAAGATTTTAGAACAATTACTCACCATTTTGTTGCGATTTCCCGGTCGAGATAAACAACTTTTCTATAAAAATTGCTCAGCGCTGAACCGGAGAACAGCTTCGCAGATTTCACGTCATAGAAAGAGAATAAAAAAGTTAGAGTAATCTTTGAAATTTATCATTGACATATTATGACGCACATGACATTAATGTAACTGTCAGTCAAGTTTACCTTTATCGTTTGTCTATGACAGAAGTTTTATTTACAAAAATTTTTCTAAGAACTCTAAATAATTTTCTGATCAAGAACTTAAGCGTAGATAACAATTTTTATATCAGCACCTGGTATTATGTTTCATATATATATATATATATATATATATATATTTAGTATTATGGTATGGTATTATGTTTCATATATATATATTTATAGATATTTTTAGTGCAGCGATACGAGCGATTTTTTCTCTGATATATATATCTTTTTTCAATTAAGTGTTTCCTCTTGTCGGTGCAACTACTCCATGCATTTTCCTCTAAGGAGCTCTATCCTAGGCCATATTTTTAATCTCTCTATACGACAAGATCTAATGTTTCGTTTATCTATGCCATGTAGTTGTTCTTTAGTCTTCTCTTGCCCACAATTTTTCCTTGTACTATGCCCTTTAAAAATCATATATTTTGCCTTTTTTCTTCTCTATTATTTTTATTAATGTTCTTTTCTCATTCGTCTTTTTTAATACTTCCTCATTTGTTACTTTATATTAACTTACTTATTAATATAATAAAATTCTAATTAAATGATGTCTGTAGTAACGATGTATTGAATATTAGTATCTTAGTCTTCATTATCTTCAATGTCTTAGGCTATCCTGGGGGAAAAATCTATATTCGTATCCGTCATTTTTCGGCGGATCATAAACGGATCTTTTGCTTTATTAAAAGTTAACATTACATACATGAAAAAAGTAATTACGTGTATAAAACTCTAGTTATATTTTTTTTTTTCTTCTTTTTAATTTCTTCTTCATTAACCTAGAGTAACCCATCGTTGAGCATCTACCTTTCCAATTATTTCTACGCAGTACGGTCTATGGCCCGTCGATGCCATAGGTAAACTGCAGTTGTGACAATACCATTAGACTATCTGGTTGGTGATTTGCCTACACTTCTTTTGACCTCGCAAGGCTTCCACTCCGGGACGCACTTACTCCATATACTGTCACATCAGAGACACATATATATTGTATTGTATAGCACTGTAGTTTTACCAGGGAGAAACATTGTACAAAAGTCATTTGCTTTGGTACCTATGTCCCATTCGTATTTCCACCATGAAGCAGTTGTGTTTATATGGCTGTGTTTTGGCTTGAAAGGTGGGATATGAAAGTGAATTTACAGGTTACAAAGGAATAACACCTAAGTTCTCAGGAATGGCAACGCATGGGGGTATCATGGTCGAAGCAATATACTCTGTTATATCCATAGTACTGCTCATGTCTATAGGTGACGTTTACCATTTTCCATCAGGTGGGCCGTCAGCTTGTTTGACATTCTAAGTTGCATAAAAAAAAATCGGATCCGTAAAAAAACTCTGATACTAACTGAATTTAAAAAGTAGAAATTTGTATCTATATTCGCGGATATAGGCATGTCCATATCCGCGAAGCGAAAAACCATATTCAATGATTCGGCATATCACTAGTTTCCATAAGATAATTAAGAAAATTTTATATGAGAGGTTTAATAAAGACAATTGAAGTCAAAATAATATTCTTAGAAATTTTTCTGTATGTATGCTTGTTCCAACATCACAGAAAAACTATAGCGTCAAATTGGATGCTGTTATGTTTTTGAAAGTCTAACTTAAAATCTGGTATATGTTTTATCTTGATGCCCAATCTAGAAGTGATCTCTTTCATTGGTTTTTATACTTCTAAAATTTACGTGTACAAAGGAACGGGTTATAAGCTACTTATTAAATAAAAATGATGCGTAATGAATACTACATTTTTAATATCATTATTACATAGATACAATGCTTTAATACACTTCAAAATATTAAAATAAAAATAATTATATTTCATAAAATTTAAATGAACTAATACACTTATTAAATACTTGAAATAAAAATCTATGTGACCAATAACTTACACATTATTCAACATTAAATTTTTGACTTGCTTATCGAATTTTCTGTAACAAAAATTATATTAAAATAATTAACTATAGCGACACAAAAAAATAATACATTCCACCGAAAGTCCATCCCGAATTTTGTACCTAAATGATAATTTATGTAAATTATGGAGTAAACGTTTTTTTGAGATTTTTATTTTAAGAGAACCTAGCATAGCGTCTTTCAAGCTTTCTAGGTTGTTGACAAAATGGGGCTTAATTTTTTTTTTCAGAGTGGCATTATAAACATAATGTCTCTAGTACTGCAGGCGTCCATAGATTATAAAAACTGCAATTACAGTTGCTTGTTTATTACTTCAATTAAAGAAATCTATAGAAAAACAAAATCGTAATCGATTGATTATTTTTTGGCAATATTATATATTACTTACTGCGACGTAATTTGATCTCCAGGCAAATGAAAAGGGTTACAAATAGCATCGGCATACAAAGCGTGCAGTCTGCGCAACGCAGTCCGTACTTCAGCATCCCTAATATTGCTGCCACTGGGCGATGTTGAGCTCGTAACCAAAACTAGTTTGATTCTAGTATTTGTTACATATCCATAACTGAGAACAATAACACAATTTTGTATTTAAATATATTACATTCGTTATATAAATGTCAACATTATTAGAATATTTTATAACTAATTGTCACTTGTAACTGTATACGCGTGATTCTACTTACATTTTATGTGTATCCGTGGAATAGAGTAATCCCAAATATAAATCACGCATGTCAGTACGAGTAGTATTTGAATTTGAACCAGATGTATTATTATTAGTAGTGGTGAGTCTTTCTTCTAATGCATCTAATGCTGTATGAACAAGCCATTGTCGGGATAATTCGTTATCTGTGCTGGTATCATTACCTATTCCACCAATATATAAAGGAGAATTCTGGAATACATTATGAAAATTTAAAAAAATACAATAAACAATTTACTTCCGGCATTAGCCATATTATAAGATAAATAATTATAATATTATAAGAATGAATGCTACCTCAAGTTTGCATTACTCAATAAAACTAAAATATATTTTGATTATACATTTAGGAGGGCAAGTGTAATAATATATATTCTTGTAATTGCCACCCTAAATGTCTATGGATTACTAAACGTCAGTCTTTTGACAAACTGCGGAATGACGTAAAAAACTCGAAGAGTTTTGAAAATATTTGACAAAGTGGTGGTGATGATGTGTAATTTTAAGAATTACTCAAACCAGCAAGTACATACGTGGTTATCTGTACACTATATACAATAAACATCAAATAATAGATGTGTGATTAAAGAAAAGTTAAGAAAAATAGCAAGAAACTTACATCTTTCCCAATAACAGCGACGCAAACGGCCATTGTTGTGTACACAGAATCGACGAAAATGTCTTGATGACGTCCTGATGCCAACATTATAACAGAATTTCTTTTTATTTTTTGGCGGTAGATTTAAAATTGGACAACAAATGTATTAATGAATGTCAAAAAAATGTCTAAAAATTATCGTGTTAATACACGATAATTTTTAAAAATATGATGTAAGCGAAACAAGAAACTGGAAATTCGTTGATAATAAAATGTTATCAAACCTCTTGCATTATTTTTCGACAATGGCTTTGAACAACCAATACATATTGTATGAGACCAATGAAAATGGTGAACGAGTGTTTATAAGGTCCATAGAGGCAGAGAAACATGTTTATTTACGTTTTGTAAATAAAACAACTAGGCCCGTCGACGTTTGGTGGAGGGACTACAATGGCGCAAGGAGGCTATACGTCAGGATGAAACCTCGTTCTTATTGCAATGTAGATTCTTATTTAACTCATCCGTGGGAGTTTACCGACCTTAATACAAAAGAGAGGTATGTTATTAACAACAAAGAAATATTCAGAGCCCCCGAGTGTATAGGTGACCTGAGGCAGCGAACTTCTTGGTTCATTTCGGTTCCTGTGAGGACATTAAGACAGAGTGCCCTGTTGGCGGTCGCATCGTCTATGACTAATCCTAGTTATGTTGATGTTTTGGGGCTGCCAAAGTCACTAGCTGAAGATTTGAAGAAGTATGTGGAAGTGCTCAATAATCCTATACCACCTCGAGTACAGCAGCCTGCTGCTGCCCCTAATTGACTGAAAGAACCATAATATCTGCTCTGTACTGTAACTAAGTTTTTATTGTTGATTTAAGTTTGTCTATGATTATGTACAATTTATGTTGTTTATTGAACATATACTTAATATCAAATATTTATATATAATACTTTAAGTATAAAAAGAAAAAAAAAATACTGATTGTGTTCCTAGTATTTTTTTTTTTTTAATAATCTATACACTATCTTCTATCTTATACTAAAGAAAGGTGCTGTAAATCTATGACTAAGTTCAATTATTAAATTAATTATGTTAGTAATAATAAAAGATTAAAGTGGACTGAATCTTACTTTGCCACTGGAAGTATTATCAAAATTCTGGACTCATTGTATCAAATACTCTAGTATATGTATCATAATGGATGTTCAAACAGGGAAATCTTAATCTTGATAATAATTTGTTGATTCTATTATTTATTAGTAATATTATTTATTATTTTCTGTTCTTTTTTTCTTTATCTACAACAAATTTCTGTATCTTTCAAATTATTTGCAATATGTCCCTATTAATATTTTGTTATTACTAGTTAGTCTAGTATAAAAATGTTCATATACATTTTACACTAATATATTATAACTGAAATTGTAAAAAAAATAATTCTCTAGAATTTATACTATACTTAATTAAATTGAATGTACCTAAGATTAATTAGAAATTAATCATTTGACAACTCTGGCTACTCTGTGTACGAATAGAGTGCTATCTGTGATTTAAATAGCATTTGTTTTTGTAAAAAAAAAAACTTTTTTAGGATAAGAAAAAAAAATGTTTAAGTGTAAAAAAGCTAATAAAAGTAACAGAATCTCTTATGTTTTTTTTTTTTAAATGTACTCATATATTGATGTTTTTGCCATATAAAGTATGCAGCTACTGTTTATTTGTATAGGGGACTATTATCAGTGTTTAGGTGAGCCGTCTTATACCTTATTTGCTATATTTATTTGCTATTTGAAGCTGTATTAAAACTTTGATAATCTCTCATAAGTATACTCACTTCATCATTATCATCATTCCATTTTCAAATTACTTCAAAAAGGAGGTTTAAAACAGTGTTTGTTTTCTTTATGTTTGTTACCTCATAACTCCGTCAGTTGTAAGCCAATTTGGAAAATTATTTTTTTTATCTAAAAGGATATAATAATAATAAGGTTTCATAGAAATTTTATCAAAATCGGTTCAGTAGTTAAGTTTCTAAATCAAATGGTTTTGTCACAATTATAGAGGGTTTTTTGTTTTTTTTTTTATGCAACTTAGAATGGCAAATAAGCTGATGGCCCACCTGATGAAAAGTGCTAACCGTTACCTATAGACATGAGCAGTAGCATGGACATAACAAACTGTTTCGCCCATGATGCCCCCCATGTGTTGCTATTCCCGAGGACTCGGATGTTATTCCTCTGTACCCTGTAAATTCACGCCATATCCCACCCTTCAAACCGAAATAAAGCAATGCAAACACAACTGCTTCACGGTAGAAACACGAATGGAACAGAGGTAAAAGCTAATACTTAGTATCTAATCTATCGACACCCGAGCGAAGCCGGGATAACTAGTTAGCTATAAATATTGCAATAATTGACTATTTATGTAGCGTTGGCGTTGACCTAATTTAGTATTCAACTGATAATGCAGCTGTTTCTCATACTGGAAGTATGATTGCGACATCTGAAATTATCATTAAAGTTACGTCACACATACATACATATTATATTTTTTTTTATACAACTTAGAATGGAAAACAAGCTGACGGCCCACCTGATGGAAAGTGGTAACCGTCGCCTATAGACATGAGCAGTACCATGGACATAACCGAGTACATATTAATTTATACATACATATTAATTTATACATACATATACATATTAATACACATACGTGGTCGATGATCCCAGGCTTACAATCGATTTAAAATCCCTAAGTCTTAGGAGAGATTTTGTCTCACTCAGCGTGTACTACCGTTTGTACAACGGATTCTGCTCAGAGGAATTGTTCAATATGATGCCCACGGCCATTGTCTACCAACGTACGACTCGCCATCGACAGGGAGTTCACCCTCATACTCTACAGCCTATGGGGGGAAAGGGATTGTTAGTAACGGAGACTGAGAATCCCATTGCTAGCAATATACTCAACCAGTTCGACCTCCTCGCGGTTCTCCCTGGAAACTATCATGGTTAATTCCTGATGAATTCATCATGATGGGCTAACTGATCTGTTTTCGTTCTCATCTATCACCCTTCACTGGTGCTCCGTCAGCGTATTCCGTTAGCGCAAGCGGGGTTACCATACCATTTATATCCATCAAAAAAAAACCCTACAGCCTAAATGGTCGCGTACAACGCGGTTTCAGAGATGTTTCTCCCACGAATACTCAGGTTATGGAAAGAGCTCCTTGTCGAGGTTTTTCCAAAAGACTACAGCGTGGGGTTCTTAAAAAAGGAGTAAAGAGATTTCTTCAGGGTCGGCAACGCGCGCGTAATACCTCTGGTATTGCAGGCGTTCATAGGCTACGGTAACCGCTTACCTTTAGGTGGGCCGTATGCTTGTTTGCCACCTCAGTGGTATAAAGAAATACATACATATATTAATATATATAGAACATAATTTTTTTGATTACAGTAAAAAAATTTAAAAAAATAAAAACAAATACATTATTTATATAAATTTTAATTAAAATATAAATTTTAAATTGAAAGGGACGCCATTCTAAATCTTATCTTCTTATTTTTACCAACTTCAAAAATTTATGCTGTGTTTATAATATGGTATTTTGGTTCAAGGCGTATATTTTTTCTGTATATGTTTTCCTAAATCAGACTGCATGATTCTTTTGTCTATTTTCAATCGACTTCAGAAAGATGGAGCTTCTCAATTCGGTTATATATTTTTTTATGTTTGTTACCACATAACTCCGTCAGTTGTAAACAGATTTTGGAAAATTATTTATCAGACAGAAGCGTCGTTTACGATTGTGACCTGGATTATGTCTACAATTAAACAAAACCGGTTCAACGATTTAAGGTAATGTAAGCATACAATAGTTTCTTACCTATGTGAAGCCGACATAGAAAATATTTAAATAGATCGCCTCTATTTCCAGAGACAATTTGTTTTCTGCGACGCATTGGGTAGTTCAAAAAGAAAATTATTTCATTTGCACGTGTATTTTTTTTTTAATGGATGATAATGGAATAGTAACCCCGCCCGCGTTATCGGTATACACCGGCGGGGCACCAGTGAAGGATGATAGGTGAGAATGAAGTAGGTCAGTTAGCCCATCGTGACGAATTCAACAAGAATTGTTCACGATGGTTTCCAGGGGGAACCACGTGGAGGTCGACTTAATAAGGTACATTGCTAGCAATGGAGCTGTCAAACAATCCTTTTCTTCCTCTGCACGTGTATTCATTATCATTATACAAACCCACCAAACTGTTTATCTCCATCCAAAGGTTGCCTGCAAGAGATCGCTCTTAGCGATAAGGTCGCCCATTGTTTTCTCACTGTGATTATTTCTTGTAATTGTTTATATTTACAATAAGTTTACTATTGTAATCTTTTGGAGGAAACAATAAAGAGTATCTATCTATCTATCTAACCGCTTATGAACATAAGCTTTCCCCTTTAGGGGGGTTTTTCCAATGGTTGTCACGTTTGGTGTGCGAGTTAGCAACCATAATTAGGATTTAGTGATGTTTATCGTTCCAAATTTCATTAAAAGTAGTGTTTGCTTGAAAGAGAAACAAATATTTATCCATCATTACAAACTTTCGCATTTATAATTCAATTAACGTCGTGTCCATATTTAACTTACTAACCTACTAGACCCCAATCCCTTATGGTGTGGGGGAAAGAGATTGTTAGTAATGTAGACTGAGAATCCCATTGTTAGCAATATACCCAATCAGGTCGACCTCCTCGCGGTTCCTCCTGGAAACTATCATGGTTAATTCCTGATGAATTCATCATGATAGGCTAACTGGCCTGTTTCATTCTCATCGATCACCCTTCACTGGTGCCCCGCCAGCGTATCCTATTAGCGCAGGCGGGGTTACCATACCATTTTCACCAATCATAAAAAATCCCTTGTGGTGTAGTTGCCCGTATGTAAAAGCTCCAACAGAAGTTGATAGTAAAGGGAATTAGTAGCCACATTGCTAGCAATACACCCTGTCAGGTCGACTACCACGTGGTCCCCCCTGGGAACTGTCGTGCTAAATGCCAGTTTTACTTCTATAAAGACTAGCACATTTTTTTAAGGAGGTACTAGGCTAACAGAACACATTAAGAGTATAACTGTATGTATGAACTGTAGTGCTGAATGCCAGTTTTACTTCTATAAAGACTAGCACATTTTTTTAAGGAGGTACTAGGCTAACAGAACACATTAAGAGTATAAGGAACTTGCAAATATCATTTCATTTATGAATGAATGAATGAATGAGTATACTTTACTTGCATTATACAATATAGGAAATAAGCAAGGCAATTTACAAACACAACGTTACAATTGTACAAGTACAGTAAGGCGGTCTTATTGCTGAGAGTAATCTCTTCAAATGGACTAATTGTTGTACAAGTAGGTATAATTAAAAAAACATCTTTTGCAAATTAAAAAAAAAAATATATATATATAAATTTGTCAACGATTCAAATTATTAAATACCAGGCCAACATACCTCATTAGGAGTTTAACGACGTATTTCAATATCACTTTATTAATTTATTTCACCATGTTTCTAATTGGTAGATACTAGGCCAACAGAAGTCATTAGTACCTACTAGTATTTTGGCTTCGGGCTGTTGGACGCTATTATGGATCGTCATATCAGCTCTAACTGTCCACTGCTGAACATAAGTCTCTCCTTTGGGGTTTTTGCCACGCTTGGCAGGTGGATTGGCAAACGCAGTTAGGCTTTAGAGATGTTTTAAGAGGGACGCTGCTGCCCATCCCTCGCCCTTTCTTAGTCGGCTCTTGCGACATCCACGGGATAGTATAGGGTGGCCTATTCTATGTTTTTTTTATACCATTGAGGCCCACCTGATAGTAAGTGGTTACTGTAGCCTATATACATGAGCAGTACCATGGATATAACAGAGTATACTGTTTCGTCCATAATACCCCCCATGCGTTGCCATTCCTGAGGATTTAGGTGTTATTCTTCTGTACCCTGTAAATTCACGCCAGTATTTACGATGGACTAACTGACCTGCCTTTTTATCCTCACCTGTCAAACTGTTAGCTCAGGCAAGGTTATATATATATCCCGATCCCGCGGATAAAGTCACGGTTAAAAGCTAGTAATAATATAATTAGGTAGTAAAAAACCAAAGTTGAGTATAAAAAAATAATTTATTGTAAAAATTAAAAAAAAAAAAAACAAAATTAAGTATTTGAATCACATAATATTGGTTATGGCAAGTCATTGGGCTTCTGATTTCTGTTTGTGTATATGCGCCACTATAGCTAGCGCCCCGCCCGGGATGAACCGGACGAAATTGTCCCCCGTGAGAGGTCCCAACGCGTATATACCTTTTGGTGCGTATAACAGTTCGTGTGTGCTTTTGTCTATGGCCACTGGGTTTGTTCTACCGTCGACCGGCTTCTTTGGATCCACTCCGAACCCTATACCGTTTGAATAAGGATTATTATCGCATTGACAAGTGAATTTAGCTTCTAGAAAATTCTTATAACTACCCTCGTATTCGCATTCCTCATTCATGTTAGATTTACTATCGCATGTGCATTTCTCGGTACGTTTGTTGCAATCTGGCATCATGCATTTTGTATCGGTGTTGCCATTTATTTCTGTGTAGCTAAATCTAGATTTACAAATTTGAATGCTTTGGCCTAGAACGGATTTTAGGTAGTACCAGTGATTCTTGAGAAAGCTTTGCCTTCTGTCATCTTTTTTTCTTATCTCGTCCCTTTTCTCTGTGCATTTGATGCAGTCTTCGATGCAGTCCAGTGTGAAGTTTGTTTGCAAGAAGAACAGGTCTGGTTTTGAGCCGATTAACACTACAATGAGGGATACGGTGACTTCCTGGACTTCGTTTGTGACTAGGTTGAGAAGTTTGACTCGCTTCGGCCTGGTGCACTCAGCGTCTGGGTCTGATTCTGGCGAGTCTGTCGACTCGGGGGTAACGTCGACGATGACATGCTCGGGGTACGATGTGTAGTTGGGGTAATTGCCTGACGTCCCGTCACACATCATCTTGTATACCTGTAAATAATAAAATAATGCAGGAAAAGCTTAAGACGTGAAAGATTTACATATAGAGTAAATTAACTTACTAACTCGTTCGCCCGTCATACTCGTGAACGAGTGCTTCCAGTAGGAGCTGGTCTGTCTAAGAATACTGTGATTGATTGTATTTTTTTTCTTTTTATCAATATAAAGATAGTCATTTTATGTATTAAAAAAAATTTGTAACAATTTCAAAAAGCAACAGTTTCGCCCTTTCTTTTCAGCTGAAAGTGCATTCCGAACTGAATGGTACATTCATAAAAAATGACTATATAAAAATGTTTATAATTAAATACTTGAAAAAAAAATTTTATAGTACCAATAATCACATTAATGGCCTGGTCCTCAAGCTAAAATTCCCTGTGTTATGAGGGACCAGGCTACAAACATCTAGGGGCACCACCCACTTCACCCGGAAACAACCAGAGGGAGACTTTGTCCCATTCGTGTTTCAATCGTGAAGCAGTTGTGTTCGCATGGCTGTGTTTCGGTTTGAAGGGTGGGATATGGCAGTGAATTTACTGGGTACAGAGGAATAACATCTGAGTTCTCAGGAATAGCAACGCATGGGGGTATCATGGTTCACGGTTGAAACACGACACCCACGGGGGACAGAAAATGGCCCATTCTATGCAGGGACCACTTAAAAAAGTAATTTACCTGGCAATAATCAGGGTAAGTTTGCGGGGACAGTCTCGCCAGCGCCTCTGCCGGGGTCCGGTGCAGATGCAGGGCGTGAAGATTCGCTCGCAGCGTGAGCCACACAGCATCAGCCGCGCTCACTCCGGACCCAACGATCAACACTGGCGGCGTGGTCGTGTCTGGAAATCAATAAATTATATACGTGAACATCGTCATACTCGTGAACGGATACTGTTAAAAACGGGTCTGCTCATTTTTACTATTATTTATAAAAAAATATATAAATAACTGATTTAATTTATTTGTTGATTCGTTATCATTCTATTTAATCAAAATTATAAAACAATTTAACTATTTGTTTTAAAGTAAGTACTGAATATTTTGCGTTTTTTTTAGCAGATAATAACCATCTGGACTCAGCTGTAGTTTCATAAACAAGTGGCGTTTCATGAATGATAAATACGGCAATAGTTGAAAATATCAAATGTGTAAAATTGAGTACCTTAATTTTAAAAATGGGTCAATAGTATTCGTACACATCGAATGTGTAAAACTGAATAAGTTGATTTTATAAAAAGAATGACCAGTAAACCTACGTATCGAATATGTAAAACTGAGTAATTAGGTTTTAGAAATAGAATGACAATGGTACAACAGTTGTACACATCAAATGTGTAAATTTGAAGTAGTTTAGTTTTAGAAATATAGTGACTATGGTTCAGTAGTCGTACACATCGACTGTGTAAAATTTGGTAAGTATTTGTAAACATCAAATTTATGAAATCAAGTAATTTAGTTTTAAAAACAGAATGACAACGTAGTCTGTATACATAAGATTTGTAAAATTAAATAGTTTTATATTAGAACACGAGTGACAATGTTGCAGTAGTCGTATATTACAAATGTGTAAAATTAAAAAAGCGTTATAAAAAGTGTTTAGAAAACTGTTTATTGAGCACGTACGTAATAATATTTAGTGTAATATATTTGATATAAATGTAAGCTGTGACATATTGTACAAATTGAATTTAAATTTTATTTAAATAATTTTATTTCTGTAACGCTGTAATTGTAGAAAGGGTAGAATTTTATAAATGTTTTAAGAGTTTCTTGTACATGAGAATTTATTTTCTAAAGTTCTTATATGTTTATGAGGTATGTAGTGTGACCGACCTGCGGCGGGGCGGCGGCGGCGGCGGCGGCGGCGGCGGCGGCGGCGCAGCGCGCGCTGCAGCGCGGCGGGCGCGTGCAGCGCGTGGCGCGCCACGTGCGGCAGCGAGCCCGCGCGGCCCGCGCCGCTCGCCAGCACCACGCGCGCGCAGCACAGCCGCAACGCGCGCCCCGACCCCGCCTCGTACCTGTGCACGCGCACGCCCCACCACACACTACACTACTCACAGTACCAAACTAATTCAGTTGCCCGATAATAAGAGTTAACGAATTTTTTATACCACTGAGGTGGCAAGCAAGCATACGGTCCACCTGATGGCAAGCGGTTACCGTAGCCTATGAACGCCTGCAATACCAGTAGTATTACGCGCGCGTTGCCGACTCCGAAAAACTTGAGTAAACTATTTCCTGCTCGGTGTGAATAAATAAATACTTTTAGAAACTTTAAAATTTGGGATGTGAAATATTGGATTTGTAAAAAATATTTTCATCTAATGTTCGAACAATAAATGATTTGATTTGATCTAAAACTAAGCAAACTTACCCCGACACGCAGAAGTTGGCGGCGAGTGGACAGGCGGACGAGCAGGGCGTGCCAGTCCGCGGCCATGCTCGTACGCTCGTCACCACAACGCCGCTACGAAAGTACCGCTGGAAGAGACAATATTAATGGTATGGTGAGTTCTCGATGTGAATTTGTTTGGGATCTACCACGCTTTATTTCAAAAATTACAATTCTAACATTTTGAAGACAACACAAAAAAAAAATATCAAGATACTAACCGTGAGATTGCAGGCGTGCACGTACCGCGTGCAATAATCAGCGACGGCACGAGCGGGCACCCGGGCGGTAGCGTCGCCGCCAGCAGAGGGCGTGGCGCGGTGCGGCGGTAGGCAGAGCCAGGCGGCTGGCGACAGCGTGCGTACTCGCGCCGGGAACGATTGCCACGCGCCGCCCGGCGGCCCACGACCCAGCACTATATGATCTATCTGGATCGATATCATATTTATTACATGCTGCACATTTTTTTTTTATAATATGTAAGTAGAAGACAAGAGTTCCAGAGAGAGAGAGTCAATAGTACAGTAATCTTACACATCGAATGCGTAAAACTGAGAAACTTAATAATCATTGAATAGTGTGTGATGTGCCACAAAAGTTATACATATCAAATACGTATGTAAAATTATGTTACATCAAAAATTATGCACATAATTACCATGCTATATTAGTTAAGTCATATCAAATGTGTAAAACTGTACAATAACCTTACGACTATTGACCAAATGATAAAAACTGAGAAACTTACTTTACAAATGACTAAATAGACTGATAAAATTCTATAGAATTTAAACACATCGAATGTGTAAAATTGGATAATTTTTTTTTTTTATACAAATGATTCGACAGAACTGCAGTGTTACAGTAGTCATACATATCAAATATGTAAAATATGTTACTAATTTAAAAAAAATATTCAATATACCTTGCTATTTAATATATATATAGTATATACATCATATATATAAAACTAAGTAAATTATTTTACAAATTATTCACAGTAGTTAAACATATCGAACGTGTAAAATAAATATAAAAATAATTTATTTTACAAATGGCAATACAGTAATGACAGTAGTCATACACATCGGGTAGCTTAGATGTATGGGCGACCTATACATTGATTCGAGCAGTACCTTACCTGTTTTGCTACGTCGTATTTCCACTCGATTAGCGCGTCTGCGTTAACACCCATATCTGCGCATGGCCTTAGCAGATTGTCCATCTGAAATTTAAATAATTATATATATATATATATATATTACATCTCCGTGTGGTCCCGGCATAGAATAGGCCACCCGTCCGTTTCCTATGAATGCCATCGCCAGCGTATACCTTTAGCCTGTGCTAACGGTATACCCTGCCTGTGCAGGGCTAACATAACACAAGGCCGACCTCCACGCAGTTCCTTCTAGAAACTAACGTGATTAATTCTTGTTAAATCCATCAAGTTGGGCTAACCCGCTTTCATCCTCATCTCACTGGTACCGTGCCAGCGTACACCGTTAGCGCAGGCGGGGTTACCATTCCATTATCATCCACTAAGTATACTTATACATTTACATTATTTATTTATTTATATTCTTTACATTTCTACATTTGTGTTTGCATGACTATGTCTCAGTTTGAAGGGTGGGATATGGCAGTGAATTTACAGGATACAGAGGAATAACACCTGAGTCCTCAGGAATGGCAACGCATGGGGGGTATCATGGGCGAAACACTATACTCTTTTATGTGCATGGTACTGCTCATGTCTATGGGCGACGGTTACCACTTTCCATCAGGTGGGCCGTCAGCTTGTTTGCCATTCTAAGTTGTATAAAAAAAAATCATACATTAAAATTTTGGGACACTCAAAAGTGTATGTCATTTTTCGACCAATATTTGAGAAAAATAATAAATAAAATATATATATATATATATATATATATATATATATATATATATATATATATATATATATATATATATATATATATATATATATATATATATATATATATATATACATTTCTTGTGCATTCGATTAAAATGCAATTAATCTTAATCGCGTACAAGGCCCGGTGCACTGACCTCGCCGGTACACTCGCGAAGGCCAAGCGTGAACGCAAAAAATGCTTAAACTAGTTCTTGTAACATAATGTAATCACTTGGAACGCTATGACTCTACAACCACGTGTATAGGCAATGAGTTTTTTATTACTGGTCACTTGGTTACCAGACAAGTTTGCTCACTGGTTTAAACCCTGAAGTTGATTTAGAACGGGCGACAAATAATATTTCAACCGTGAAGCAGTTTTTTTTTATATATAACTTAGTTGTGTTTGCATGGCTGTTTCTGTTTGAAGGGTGGGATATGGCGTGAATTTACAGGGTACAGAGGAATAACACCTGAGTCCTCAGGAATGGCAACGCAATTCTTAATTCGGCAGTGTTTTTTATATTTATTTTAGGCCTCAGGAATGGCAACGCATGAACGGTATCATGAGCGAAACAGTATACTCTGTTATGTCCATGGTACTGCTCATGTCTATAGGCGACGGTTACCATTTTCCATCAGGTGGGCCGTCAGCTTGTTTGCCATTCTAAGTTGCATAGAAAAGAAATAAAAAATCATACTGTATCATCATGTAGCACTAAAAAATTTAGCTGAACTAATATTATATTACATAAATGAGGGTTGAGCGCTGTTGTCTGAGATACAGGCTTCATAACCTAGTTCAGACATAGATGTTTAAACCGATCCAAATGTACGAATGAAATGTTTGCCATTCTAAGTTGTATAAAAAAAAAATATTACATTACATTTTTACTAAATTTTATATTTTATTCACCGTGTGGTCCTCGCATAGGAATAGGTCACCCTTTCTTTTCCCGTGGGTGTCGTAAGAGACGACTAAGGGAGGCCGAGGGGTGGGCAGCAGCGTCCCTCTTCAAATATCTGTAAAGCCTAACTGCTAACTGTCAATCCGCCTGTTAAGCGTGGCAGCTACTGGAGGTTATGTATTGCTTCCATTCCCAAATATAAAGGAACTGGATGGACGGGCAAGCGTGAACGCCATATATATATATATATATATATAATAAGTTATATATATATATATATATATATATATATATATATATATATATATATATATATATATATATATATATATATATATATATATATGGCCGTCATATTGCTAACAATCCCTTTCCCCTGTGTGTGTGTGTGTTACAGTGTTCTGCGAAATAGGTTTGTGGTCATTACAGATGGGCAAAGCACCGGGTTTAAACCCGGTGCTTTGGTAAAAACCCAATAAACACCCATAAACTCCCATAATCACCCAAAAAAATAGGTTTTTACGTATTTTTTTGAAAATATGTAAGTAATACCAATAAATTATTTTTATAAATTGTATTGATCAATTCTACAATATTAAATAAAACGTTAACGAATAATATTTCAGGAAATTTTAAAAATCTATATATAATAAAATGAAAGTAATTAATTTTCAGTGTTTTCATGTTGCAGTTGATCAACATGTTGGCCTTTTGCTTCCCGTAGATACTTTAAAATTTCTTCATAACACCTCGTTCGCACACATGGCCGTATATATTTAAATTCTTGAGCCACTAACAGTCCGAAATACTCATTTCTTTTATCCTCTTCTCCATAAATTAAGCATTTAGAACAGTTTGTTTCTTCTTTCAGTAAATTTTCTTTTACTTTATCCTCGTTTTTTTCTTTGTTGCGACGACGCTGGGTAAATCATCTGGACACTGGGTCTCACTATCGCCAAATATATTTGGAGATCGGCTTCGGCTACGGCTTGGCAGACATTTTTTTCTTTCTACAATTTTAAATTAAATTTATTAGAATAAATGCTTCGAACACACGCGATCTAAGTACCTTTTGTGTTTATTATACCTTACCTACCTAGGTATAAAAAGAGTACTTACGTAGATTTTCTTTTATTAACTGTTTTATACGAAGATCTTGATCTCTCAAATTAGCATCCATTTTACTTCCAGTGATTATCAACTAAATTAATAATCCACAAAGTATTAAATAACGTTTTTATGAAATATTTAGCACAAAAACAATACCCTTTAAATATCGATCGTCAGTAACTGTGGCTGACTTACCTATATTCTAGCAAGCAGGACTGCCAGATGTGAAGGGGATAATAAATTGTTGCATGTGACTGATGATGTGAGCATGTTCGTTTCATAATAAAAATGTTGCCATAACCAAAAAGTCGTATGTTTTTGTGCGAATTACGATCATAATCTTTACGATCGTACATTAAAAAATAGACAAATAATAGTATGAGTACGATTTAAATCGTATATCTGTCAACCCTGCTAGCAAGACAGCGACAAAATCACGTTGCATAACAATGTAGCCCAAGCTTATATCTTATGAAATATACGGAAGAGATACGGACTTAGAAAAAACAGAAATGTTGTTCTTTGTGGAAGTCATTGATGAAATTCTATGTATTTTAGCCCGCAAACTTTCTTCAAACAAAAACAGCGCCATCTAGTATCGAGTTCTGTAATTATCTCTTTGTTTATGGATTTGAAGTAAGACCGCCACGCATGCAATACATTATGACTGGGGATTCCCCTAGTCGTCGACGCTGAATATGAGGCGACGACAATCACTGTCAAACGTGTTCACTATTACTCTGACTCTGGTAACGTGACTTCCTGGTAACGTGTTAGGTAGGAAAAGCAGTAAAAAAGTGCATATTAAGGGAGCAGATTTGAAATAATATTTATACTTAACAAGAAATAATTAAAGGTAAGTGGATTTTTGAATGATACAATTATATCATGATCACTTAACAATTTTAACTTAAAATTAGATGTATTATTACAAGCTTTTATTTAGCTTGCGTTATGTAAATAAAAGTATGTAGGTATGTTCGTATGTTGATGCAATTATCCTCAATCCTCAACCGACTGGGATAAAATTTTCCATACACGTTTATTTTGGATGATAGTGCATAGTTAGCTGAGAGTCGTCATTGGATAATAATGGTGGATAGCCTAAGATGTGTACTAGATATTTATTTTTAACATAATATGCGTAAGTACCTAATCGAATTAAAGAAGTTGCTGAGAAAAATACAGAACAATACGATAATAAACTAGCGTCTGCGTTTAATCCTCCGAGGAGATGTAATTTTACAAAGGTTTTTTGTATTTATTTTATTATTTTTTTAATAAATTTATTGTAAATAACAAGAAATAATCATTGTAAAAAAATAGGCACTCTATTGTTGAATTTTCGTCAGACCAACTAATCATCGTTCATTTTTTTAGGTTCAATGGGGAGACAAAGATTTACGCATATGGGAACTAAACCAAACAAGTCTGTTTCTTGCAAGCTTTGTAATAAGGTCTACAAATTCAGTAATGCTGCCAAAATGCTTCAACATCTTATCACTTGTCCAAAATCTCCAGAAACATTAAAAGACTCTATGAAACTTATAAAAGATAGCTCGTCCAAAACCAAAATGTCTGGACTGTCAGAGATAGAGACAAATGATTCTTTTATAAGCCCCTCGTCGTCTGCTAACACTACAATAAATGCTGAGTTTCAAGACACCGATGATCATATAAAAACAGAATTAGCGAGAGCTATATTTGTAACAGGGACGCCATTATCGATGGTGCAACATCCTTTATGGATACAATTTTTCGAAAAATTGCAACCAAAATTTAAAATACCTTCACGTAAAGCTTTAGCGACAAAATACTTAGATAAAATATATAGAGAAATGCGTTTTGAGTTAAATGAGGAAAAATGCTTGTAGTTACACACCTTCAGTGCGATGGCTGGTTTTTAAGAAATGAAGGAATAATAAACTTTCTTATATCAAAACCTCAACCTGCATACGTTAAAAGTTTGAATACAGAAAGTAATCCTCACACTAGTGAATACCTTAGCCAAGAAGTTGAAAAAGTAATGAAAGTGTATGGAGCAAATAAGTTTCTTGTACTTATTGGCGATAACGCTAGAAATATACAAAAGGCATTCGAATTAACAAAACTCAAATATCCACATGTTGTTCCTCTCGGTTGCTGTGCACATATCCTTAACTTGTTGTGCCAAGATATTGTAAAGATACAAGAAGTAACTGTGTTTATTATGCAAGCCATAAATATAATAAAAACTGTTAAAAGGAGTCAACGATTAAGTTCCTTGTTGATAAAATCAAGGCAGGGTGAAGATTCTACACAAACACTAAAATTGCCTTGTGCTACAAGATGGGGAAGTCATGTTACTTCGTTAAAAAGTTTGAAAGCAAATAAGATAGCTTTGCAAATATTAACAGTTAGAGAAGATGTGGTAATTTCAAGAGATATAAAGATTTAATATTTCTGGACGAAGACAGGGGAATGTATAAGTATTTTGGAACCAGTCACTGAAAGCATATTTTACTTAGAGAGCGACCAGAATCGTTTGCATCGCACATACATTACATTTAGAGATGTACAAGCTAAGATACGTTTTGCATTAAATGAGATTTCGACATTGAGCGAAGAAAGCAAACAGCAGATTCTAACATCAGTATCTTCAAGATGCAATATGGCAATGAGGCCAATACATTTTGCAGCATATATTCTAGACCCCAGGACTCTAGGAGTCGAACTTACTCAAGAGGAAGAACTTAAGGGTATGGAGTTTATCTACAATTTAAGCCAACACTTAAGTTTGTCAAATGTAATGGCAGATTTGGCGTGTTATAAAGCTAAAGAAAACTTTTGGGCCAGAGGATTTGTATGGAGCTCATTAGATAGCATTGAGCCCTAATATGGTGGAAACATTTGTGGTTCCACTGAGTTAAGCAAAGTAAGATTCGTATATATATATATATATATATATATATATATATATATATATATATATATATATATATATATATATATATATATATATATATCGAACCTATACAATTCATCGCTTGTAATAACTCTGAATCTGACAGTGATTGACTGTAGTTTTACATTTTACTTTCATCTCTTTCTTAATAAACTCAAAATCAAATTAAAAGTTTTTTATTCTGTGTGTAATAATATTGTCTATGTCCAGTATAGTGGACGTCTTGCGGCTGAGATGACGATGATGAAGTACAAAATCATAAACACCCAAAAATTTGGGTGTTTATGGGGTTTAAACCCAATAAACCCAAAACACCCGGTTTTTACCCACCAGACTTTAAACCCACCCAGGTGGATTGCCCATCTCTAGTGGTCATTCATCATATTGCTGCAGCGTTTGAGACACTACACACAAACCATGGCGTCCTAGGGAAAGAGAGTTATTATATATAGTATGTAGTGTAATGATTTTTTGCACGATCACGTCACACACATATATAGAAATTAAATAATAAAATAATATACATATATAATATATAGAACAGAAGTCAATACCGGAGCAATAACATTTTTCCAATAAAAGGGATGGTAGTTTAATTTTAAAACAATTGAGAATATGTATAATCTTCAACTGGTCAAAAAAGAATAAATAAATAAATAAATAAATATTTTTTTAATGGACGATAATGGAATGGTAACCAGTGAGGTATGATAAGTGAAAATGAAAGAGCAGGTCAGTTAGCCCATCGTGATGAATACGCCGGGAATTCAGCACGATGGTCCCAGGGGAGGCCACGTGGAGGTCGACCTGCTAGGGTATATTGCTAGCAATGGGACCCCCCCCCCCGCCCCTATAAAATGGTTGGAGCGCATATAGTGTGTTTGTTAAAGTATGTTAAAATTATATAAAAAATAGATAAATATTCGTTGAGCACTCAGCGATGTCATGCAATATAGTGACAGAACATAATTTTGGGGAGTGACGAGCTAAATTTAAGCTATTTATCAGTAAGTACCTACTCACACTATGATACCACAATCAAATTCGTAGTATCGCCACCTTAAGATAAACATAGGGTTGCCACAAACAGTTTTATTTACTTATTATTTAGTTTTTTTTTTTTTTTTTTGTATTATTACTTTGATAACCTGGATGTTAAAAATGCTTTTTTAACACATATCTATCTATACTTATAATAAATCTGTAGAGAGGTCAACTCTGTACATGAAATATATTTCCAAAATAACTATCAGCGGGTGATTAGTGATCGATACTGATGCCAAAAATGCAATCAGTAAAATTTTTGTCCGTCTATCTGTATGTTCGTTATAGAAACAAAAACTACTCGACGGATTTTAACGAAATTTGGTACAATTATTCTTCATACTCCTGGGCAAGTTATATACTTTTCATCACGCTACGATCAATAGGAGCAGAGCAGTGAAGGGAAATGTTGGGAAAACGGGAGAAGTTACTTCATTTTTAAGCTTCCGTCGCGTGTGCATCCTTAATGCCCCCTTTTTAAAATGTAATTAAAACATTGTCTAATTCCTATATACCTCGTTCGATTCATCATTTCAAACAATTTCAGAGACTCAAGTCGATTGGCTAAATCAGTTAAAAAAAAAATAGATTTGTTCCCTTTTTCATTTATAATAATAGTAAGTATTCGAGTTGTGTCAACCCTATCACATATCGCAGTTATGAATGACAAGCCAGTTCTGCGTCTCGTCGCCATATTGTTATTTAAATTACGCAATCATAACATATTGTACGACATTCTGTTTGTGCGAAACAATACTTATCATGTTAATTTATAAGCTAACTAGCTTTTACCCGCGGCTTTGTTCGCTCAACCGTGGTTATATTTACTGACCGGAATGAAAAGTAGCCTATATCCTTTTTCATCCCATATATTACGTATATATATATTTTTTATACAACTTAGAATAGCAAACAAGCTGACGGTCCACCTGATGGAAAGTGGTAACCGTCGTCTATAGACATGAGCAGTACCATGGACATAACAGAGTATACTGTTTCGCCCATGATACCCCCATGCGTTGCCATTCCTGAGGACTCAGGTGTTATTCCTCTGTACTCAGTAAATTCACGCCATATCCCACCCTTCAAACCGAAACACAGCCATGCAAACACAACTGCTTCACGGTTGAAACACGAATGGGACAGAGGTACCCAAACAATCGACTTTTGTACAAAGTCTCCCTATGGTAAATACTGGTCTATACTCCATTGGACTTCGTCATATATTAAGCCGTTAGTTGCCTACTATTGGAAGGTTTTGCCAGTACCTACAACTGCCACTTTTGGCAAGCGATTTGACAACTGCAGTTAGGCTTTAGTGATATTTGAAAAGGAATGGTGCCGCCCATCCCTCGACCTTCTCTTAGTTCCATCAGGTGGGCCGTTAGCTTGTTTGCCATTCTAAGTTGTATAAAAAAAAAACTCCCCAATAGGAGTAGGCCCATGTTTAGTAGTATACAATTAACAGCTTAATATATGACGAAGTCCAATGGAGTATAGAGCCAGGATGAAATGATTTTGATGTTGAGAAAATATTTACCAGCAGCGGAATCGGATTCTGGCTGCGTCCCTCCAAACCCTCGGCCAGCTCCAGGAGATCTGCTTCGTACAGGCTCTGTCCCGCTGGTAAGTTTGATAATCTGAAACATAATTTACAGAATGATCATCCTTTCTAATAATCTATACCAGAGGTCTTCTTTTCATTAAAGAGTTTCCTCTTGTCGGTGCAACTAATTCATGCATCTTCTTCCAGCCAGCTCTATCCCAGTCTGGGATTCCCAGACCATATCTTTGACCTACTTACACGACACGACACCTAGTGTTTTTTTTTATCTGTCCCATGTAGTTTTTCCTCGGTCTTTCCCTTCTTCTTTTACCCTCTATATCTCCTTCTATGCTCTTTAAAAAATCGTCATGTCGTATAAGATGGCTCAGCATTTTGTCTCTTCTATTCTCTATTGTTTTTATTAATATTAGTTTCTCCTTCACCCTTTTCAAGACTTCCTCTTTCATCTCATTCAGCCAAAGGTGGCCGAATTAATTAGACCCAAGATCTACCGTTTACTGACGAAACCTTGTGCGATCGGGGGGAAAGGGATTGTTAGTAATGGAGATTGAAAATCCCATTGCTAGCAATATACCTAACCAGGTCGACCTCCTCGCGGTTCCCCTGGAAACTATCATGATTATTTCCTGATGAATTCATCATGATGGGCTAACTGGCCTGTTTTCGTTCTCATCTATCACCCTTCACTGGTGCCCCGCCAGCGTATCCCGTTAGCGCAGGCGGGGTTACCATTCCATTATCATCAAAAAAAAAAAATCGTTTCTCCTTCACCCTTTTTAAGACTTCCTCTTTCATCTCATTCAGACAAAGGTGGCCGAATTAATTAGATCCAAGATCTACCGTTTACTGACGAAACCTTATGCGATCTACCAATTACATACATCTTGAAATCACAAATGAAACGACATAGTTTCAGTACACAGTTATGCAGTATTGTAGTATTTTTTATTTTATTAAGAGGGAAAACATGAAACTGCAAATTATTCTTAGTAACTACTTATTTATACTAGTTTCTATTCTTATCAATCAACTTATACAGGGACGCAGTCGCGGGTAAACACTAGTTGTAAACAAATGCTCACCTGGCTCTGAGCATCTCGTCTATCGGTAGATCTTCTGGAATGTTCTTGAGGTATGGCACGTTCCCTGCCAGCATGTATGACGTCACCATACCACTGGGTCCATTGCCTGAAACATTACACATCATGTAACTTTAATTGTTCCTCCATCCTAAGGTTGCCTGGAAGGCGGGAAGGAAGGATGGAGAGCCTAGCCCAAGCCTGGAGAGCTTAGCCTGGATTTAGCCAAAACTAATTGCCTCGACGTTATTTTCAATTCACTGTTTCACTGGTAACCCATTGGCATAAACTACAGTTACTAGTTCATATAATCATCATCATCATCACCATATCAGCCTTCAAATGTCCACTGATGAACATAACCCACCAAGGATTTCCTTGAAGTTATCTCGCTTGTCAGTGGCAACGCTTTAGGCTTTAGACATGTTTTTAGAGGGACGCCATTGCCCATCCTTCGCCCTCCTTTAGTCGACACCCACGGCAGGTAGGGGTGGCTTACTCTATGCAGGGACCACAGGGCAATATTATAATAATAGAGGGGAAAGGGATTGTTAGCATTGGATTTTAACAGCCCCATTGCTAGCAATATGCCCTATTAGGTCAACCTCCACGTGGTTCTCCCTGGAATCCATTGTGAACAATTCTTGTTGAATTCGTCATGATGGGTTAACTGACCTGCTTCATTCTCACCTATCATCCTTCACTGGTGCCCCGCCGATGTATACCAATAGCGCGGGTGGGGTTACTATTTCATTATCGCCCATAAAAAAAACCGCAGTTAGGCTTTAGAGATGTTTTTAGAGGGACGTTATTGCCCATTCCTCACCCTCCCTTAATCGCTTTTTAAGACACCCACGGGAAAGGAAGGGGTGGTCCATTCTATGCCGGGACCACACGGCAATACTACAATAATAATAAATGTGTACATTGCCATTTTCACACATATGGTGCCAATCATTATAAGGTTACTAGAACATGTTATATTGAACATTGTGTTGCAGGGGGAAGGGATTGTTAGTAATGGAGACTAAGAATCCCATTGCTAGCAATATACCCAACCAGGTCGACCTCCCCGCGGTTCCCCCTGGAAACTATTATGGTTAATTCCTGATGAATTCGTCATGATGGGCTAACTGGCCTGTTTTCATTCTCATCTATCACCCTTCACTGGTACCGTACCATTTTCACCCATCAAAAAAAAAAAAACATTGTGTTGTAAAAAATTACATCTACTCGTATTCCAGTAAAATCAGTCAGTTATTTCGCTCTAAAAACTAAACTACAGATGCGAGTTTGAAAAAATCTCTGAGGCGTCAATCTGTAAGTATATATATGTAGGAAATATTTTTAATGTTTTCAATATTTGCTGTAACGGAACGTATGATGAACGACAATGAACGAGTGTGCACGAGTGAGTAAGACTGACAGAATGAAATAATTAGATTCATTGTTGCCACGGTGTTCTAAATAGATTCTAGGTTGACGGTGTTATATTTTTGAATAATTTTAAGAAAAGTTTTAAATACATAGTGATACGGAGCAACTATTTTTTTATATACAACTTAGAATGGCAAACAAGCTGACGGTCCACCTGATGGTAAGTGGTAACCATCGCCTATAGACATGGGCAGTAGCACGGACATGGTCCTGCATTTATTTATTTATTTAACTCTATATTCCACCAAAAATATAAAAATAAACAATGACATAAAACACCCCAACTGAAATACAGTAGCGTGGAGTACACATCAAAATACAGTATGTCCTTTCAGATAAAAGTATTTTTCAAATCGATTCATAACTGACATAGTTTGAGGTAACAAATATAAAAAAGTAATATAACCGATTGAGACCTCTTTTTTTCAAGTCGGTTGAAAACTTTTTTTTGCAATTACAATGGCAAACAAGCTGACTGCCTACCTCATGGTAAGAGTTGTTTATAAACATAAACAGTACCGTGGTCATAATATAAACAAGTTGTTAAGGTTGACCGGAAGAAATCCCTTTAAGGGATACCTGTTCGCCTGTGTACATTTTTGTTATAACCACATTTCTATATTAAAAGTGTATATACAAAAGCATATATTTATTTAAATAAATAAATAGATATTTTAATGTCTGTGTAATGGTAGAAATTTTGATTTTTTGACTTGAGCAGTACCATAGACATAACAAAGTATACAGTTTCGCCCATGACACCCCCCATGCGTTGCCATTCCTGAGGACTCAGGCGTTATTCCTCTGTACCCTGTAAATTCACTACCATATCCCACCCTTCAAACCGAAACACAGCCATGCAAACACAACAGCTTCACGGCAGAAACACGAATGGGACAGAGGTGGCCAAGCAATCGACTTTTGTACAAAGTCTCCATCTGGTATTTTTTATCAATAATACAATAAAATTAAATGCAGTTAATAAAATTAATTAAAACAGAACGATATCTTCCTTTACAATGTATGTTATCAAGGCAATAAATCCAAAATAGCCGGATTGATGCACTTTGCGTTTCACTATATCGGTGATTCGCAGTCCATGCAACAATAACAATCTTTTGTTTTTTTTTTTATTTAACTTTCTTTATGTTTATGTTTATTTTTATGTTTAAATTTTTCACTAATAGTTGCAACCTAATAGCTTTGTTGCAGTCGCATTTATTATTGGATCATGCTGTGTGCACATGTTGTGGCAAGTTTACCTGATACCCGTTATGTACTTGCATATTATAATTTAAGTTTTTATTTGTAAACTTCTGTTATGTGCGCCTAATAAATAAATAAAATAAAAATAAAATAATTAGATGTGTACTTCTATTAAAATTGTTATTATATTGTTTAATCTGTACAATTAGCGTTTAAAAATTTGACATTTTTTATTATCTTAGTAGCGGCCCGTCCCGGCGTCGCACGGGTGAACATTTTTACAACACTTTAAACAGTGGTTATTGTGACATAACGATAATAGTTGGACATATAGTATTGCGAAGTATTTTATAGTTATTGATATTTTCTTCAATAATGTAGAACACACTTTTGTTCTATCACCAATAGTTTCTGCAGCGCACGCGACCAAAGATATTTTATAGCATTTTTTTACAGCTTGAGTTACGTTACTAAAGTTTTAGTAAGGATCCCTAATCTTTTCTACCAATAAATATAGCCTATGTTACTCAGGATGAATTTAGCTTTGTAATGGTGACAAAATTTTTGAAATCGGCAAAATAGTTTTTGTGTTTGTTCATTACAAACATACATACACAAAAAAATACAAATCTTTCCTCTTTATAATATTAGTGTAGATTACATATTAAAGAATTATTTTGTCATAGCCTTTGTAATGACTGTTGCACGTCAGTAACGACAGACTGTGTGAAAACATTGTAATATTACCATACCACCTTATTGTACCACATTTTTAGCAATAAAATTCATTTATTAATTCGATAAATTGCCGTGTGGTCCCGGCGTAGAATGGGCCACCCCTTCCTTTCCCGTGGGTGTCGTAAGAGACGACCTAAGGGAGAGGCTAAGGGATGGGCAGTAGCGCCCCTCTTAAAACATCTCTAAACCCTGACTGCGGTTGCTAATCTGACTGCCAAGCGTGGCAACTACTGGCAGATCCCACAAGGGGAGGCTTATGTTCAGTAGTGGACAGTTAAAGGCTGGTATGATGAAAATGATGACTATAAGAATAGAGAAATCAATAGGCTACATTTTATCCCGAAAACAGGATGACGTGAATGATGTTGCTGGTAAAAGCTAGTACATAGACAATAAAAGGGCAATGGAATGGTAACCCCACCCGCGCTATCAGTATACACCGGCGGAACTCCAGCGAAGGATAGGTGAGGATGAAGCACGTTAGTGAGCCCCGAACCCAGGTCCCCAACACTTTGGCGCGGCGAGGGATGCCGTGGTGGTTTTAGCCGGTAGGAGTCCGGCAGTACCCATACGCCTCCCTCGGGGCATATGGGTCTGCATGATGCATTTCCCCACGATAAAAAAAAAGGTCAGTTAGCCCATCGTGATGAATTCAACAAGAATTGTTCACGATGATTTCCAGGGAGAACCACGTCGAGGACGACCTAATAGGGTACATTGCTAGCAATGGGGCTGTCAAACTCCATTGCTAACAATCCCTTTCCGCCCAACAATAAAAGGCTGTAACAATGATGACGGTGACGCATGGAGACGTTCTAACGATACGGATTATAGAGGACATATTTAATGACTTAGTGTCAAGGTCGTGCTGTAGATTGATCATTTTAAATATATACGTATATAGACGTTGATTATTTTTATCGATTTTTTTATATTGTACTTTAACATCGACCGTGCAATTACAGTCTGATTGATGTAGAGTAATTGTGGGTTATTAGAAACAGTCTACACTGTAAAGTTATATACAATGTAACGATTGAAACATGTTTTATGATTAATTAACTAAAATTTTAACGTGTAAAACGTATATAAGTTTATTTGTAACTAGATGTAAGACGCGTGCTAGCCATGCACTCTACCAGGTCCACCTTCACGCGGTTCCCACTGAAAACCTACCTTTACCTACCTACCTACCTAAAATTTTTTTTAATGGGTAACAATGGCATGGTAACTCCGCCTGCGCTATCGGTATACACTGGCGGGGCACCTGTGAGGGGTGATAGGTGAGGATGAAAATGCAGGTCAGTTAGCCTATCGTGACAAATTCAAAGATAAATTAGTTACCAGAGGCAGATTTTGTACAAAAGTCGTTTGCTTGCGTACCTCTGTCCTATTCGTGTTTCAACCGTGAAGCAGTTGTGTTTGCTTGGCTGTGTTTCGGTTTGAAGGGTGGGATATGGCAGTGAATTTACTGGATACAGAGTAAAACACCCGAGTCCTCAAGGATGGCAACGCATGTGGGGTATCATGGGCGAAACAGTATACTCTGTTATGTCCAGGGTACTGCTTATGTCTATAGGCGACGGTTACCACTTTCCATCAGGTGGGCCGTCAGCTTGTTTGCCATTCTAAGTTGGATAAAAAAATCCATCGTAGTAATTCTTGTTGAATTCATCACGATGGGCCAACTGTGATCCTATAAGGGTTCCGTTTTTTCCTTTGAAGGTAGGGAAACCTAAAAAAGAATCATGCATTGTTGCCTTGTTATCTTGCTTTTATGTAATTATTCATTACGTTTGCGTACATATTGTTAACCTTTATAAACTGTATCATTCTTTGAAGGGAACGATTAATATCCATTAATTTATTTATTCATGTAGGTACAGTTGTTACACGGCAGAAACACTAGTGGGACGGAGGCTAAGAACAAGGAATTACATAGAAGGAATGATAAAATAAAAACTGCGAATCATATGGTTGTCTCCTTTCTTCTTATGCAAATATCACTACATATTTTAAAACAAAGTCGCTGTCGCTGTCTGTCCGTCCCTATGTATGCTTAAATCTTTAAAACTACGCAACGGATTTTGAAGCGGTTTTTTTTATAGATAGAATGATTCAAGAGGAAGGTTTATATGTATAATACATGCATAATATTGTAGAGGAACACTGATAAATTTAGAGGTTTCTAATGTGATGTCGTAAATAAACAATTTTTTGCGCTTACATTGTAAACGCTGGCTGAACCCCACGAGATAAATCAAAATAATGTACTACAGTATTGTACACCTTAAAAAGGTCAACAAAAAAGTCCGCGATTATCTCTTAAGGATAACCCACAATAACCATTTTTTATTCTTTACATTTTACGCAGAAAAATGGCTTATTTACGAAGTGATTTTAAGCAATACAGCATTAATTTTTATCCAATTAAGTACCTTAAGTACAATACATTGTCCATTTACAGTATGTAATTTAAATATTTCCGAAGATATTACAGATTTAAAATGCAGGGATGGCGGCGCTATTTAATATCAACATTGCACCCGAGCGAAGCCGGAGCGGGTCGCTAGTAATTAATGAAAAGAGGACGAAAGATACACCATCAGTTGCTGTTTGTCTCAATTCATAGCAGGCTAGTGTATAGAAAATGTTATACGGTCGTATAACCCTACCAAATTCAGATGCAACCTGCTTGCATACTTTGTACATAAACTGTGCCGAATATATAATCTAGTAAAAGAACAAAAATTTTACATACATATTTTCTATACTTTGTTCTTAGGTTCTTAGATCCTTGTTCTTAGGATGGAGGTTCATGCAACGTGTGTACAAAGTTTACTTCTAGAAGTTTCTCTATACATGGGATGTCTTGAGAACAATTGGTATGATTATGTAAAGACATATCTAGTTATGATAGTTAATCATTAGGACACGTTAGAGTCAATTGTCTCGCTTCGACTAATTGTTAAATTGTCGTTCATTCGTAGGGGCCACAGTTTAATGCATGGCGACAGCTATATAAGCCAAAGTTTCCTTCCTTTAGTTGTATTATACTCTTAACACGGAAAGAACAATACTATCAGGTTGATCTCCAGATAATTCCTCCTGGAAACTATCCTGGTTTCTACTAAATATGTACGTTACGATGGGCTAACTGATCTCCTTTCATCCTCACTTACCATCCCTCAATGGTACCTCGCCAGAGTATACCGATAGAGATAGTGGGGTTGCCATTCTATTATCATCCTATAAGACCTTCGGAAACCATTGTAGAAAAAAAAAAAAAAAAAAACTATTTTCTGTATCTAATCGGATGGGTAGTATAGTAAACTAGTTTGCCACATTTCCTGTGCTTTAAAAATAATAAAAAAAAAATCGCTGAATATTGAAATCGTGACTCCCCATTCACTAGCTGTTACTCGCGGCATTATCCGTGTAGGTAATAACGACTGTAACATACCTTGTCTCTATCCTTGGATTGCAAACGGCCAGTTTCCATTCACATATTGCTGTCATGTTGTTGCTGACGACCCCCCAAAAGCAGCGAGCACGTCACAGAGATATAGAACTCCATGGATGCAGGTGACACGGGACCGTTCTTTGTGGTTATCTATGGGGAGACGTTCCAATGGACAGTGGAAGGTAGACAGTGACATGATGACGATGATAATCTATGGCTGATGATACTCACCGATGATAACAACTTCTTTGTAGACCATATCATTTGACAATGTATGTTGGCAAGGATTCATGTTGTCTCTCATTGTATTTTTCATGCAACTTTCGTCTCGGTCCAGCTTATTTTTTATATTCTCTTTAACCAATGATTACGCCTTACTTTGAGTAATTTATAATCTGTTGTCGATTTCCGCCGTTTTACAGCTGAGTTAGTCTATGGTTTATACTTTTATCAACTTTTTTAAAGTCAAAGAAAGTATGTATTTAATTTATAATCTATGGTCGTTTATCGCCTTTTTATTGCTGAGTTAGTTTATGGTTATATACTTTTGTCGACTTTATTAACGTCGAAGACAGTGGGTGGGTATTTTAATTGACTTTATATATTGTCAATAAATGCAAACCTTAAATCTATAATAAATAAGTTAAATATCACATGCAATTTAAAGTCTTGCGGACTTGTCTTTGTTTGATTCCAATATGGCGGTTGACGCCAATTCTTCGTTGTGTTGATGCTACGGAGATAAGTGTAATCTGTAACAAAAATAAGTTATTATTAGGAATGTAAGGCAATTCAAAATGAGAACCAGATATGAATAAAAAACAGTTCCTTGTCAATAAACTTATTTTTACTAGTAAATTAAGTGCCAAATGATAATAATGTATGTCAGATAATTATAAACGAATTTATTATGGGTTTGTTACGTTTTTTATGAGTGCTCGCATAAGATGAACAGATATATGTCTTATTCATTCCAAATTTAAAATTATTTCAAAGATACTTTTTACAAAAGCTACTTATGAAGCCACTCTTTAGGTTATTGATTTCAACGCTTCTTTATCACTTACATAAAGTGCCTTCATTCCGCCTACGGTCTATATAATTCCGATAACGACTCCATATTAATTATACCTTATCTATTCGCGTATATCATTGATATTCTGAGAGGCCTTGTTTGAAATGAACGTTGCATGTATTATAATATATTATATATAATTAGGTATTTAGTAATTAATAAGTATATGTCATTGCAGTGAACGGATGAATGTTGGTAACACGAAATAAGGATGTTTATGTGAAGCGATGATCCTGTGAAAAAAATTCATCTATCACTGGTGCCCCGCCATTGTATATCGATAGCGCAGACGGGGTTACCATACCATTATCACCCATTAAAAAAAACACGAAATAAGGATGTTTATATGAAAAAATTGCCGTGTGGTCGCGGCATAGAATAGGCTACCCCTTACTTTCCCGTGAATGTCGTACTAAGAGGCGACTAATGGAGGGCGAGGGATGGGCAGCAGCGTCCCTCTTAAAATATCTCTAAAGTCTAACTGCGGTTGCCAATCCGCCTGCTAAGTGTGGCAGCTACTAGCAAAACCCCCTCAAGAGGGAGGCTTATGTTCAGCAGTGGACAGTTAAAGGCTGATATACGTAGTATGGTATGGTTGAAGACTCTACTGACATACTCAAGAAGGTGGGGGGGGGGGGGAAGGGATTGTTAGTTACGGGGACTACCCGTACCGTTGCTAGCAATATACCGACCATGTATGTGTTTATTTATATAAGGTCGACCTCCACGCGGTTCCTCTTTTTTTTCTTTATACAACTTAAAATGGCAAACAAGCTGACGTCCCACATGATGGAAAGTGGCAACCGTCGCCTATACACATAAGCAGTACCATGGACATAACAGTGTACACTGTTTCGCTCACGATATCCCCCATGCGTTGCCATTCCTGAGGACTCGAGTGTTATTCCTCTGTACCATGTAAATTCACGCCAATTCCCACCTTTCAAATCGAAACACAGCCATGCTGCACAACTGCTTTACGGTTGAAACACGGATGGGACGGAGGTACCCAAGCAAACGACTTTTGTACAAAGTCTCTCTCTGGTAAATCCTCCTGGGAATCGTCATTAATTCTTAATAAATTCGTCACGATAGGTTTACTGACCTGTTTCATCCTCACCTGTCACCTCTCACTGGTGCCCCACCAGTGTATACCGATAGAGCAGGGGGAGGGGGGTGTTACTATTCGATTCAAAATACTCAAGTAGTTCAAAAAGTCGATCAAATTATATTACGTTCTAGCCATTCGCCGCGGAACCCTAAAAAGCTTAACACGGGCGACATCACGCCCATTTGCCAGTATACAAAATTTATGTGACCTTTACTACGTTTACTACGCAGTTAGTTACCCGAATAGTGGAACAGAGTAAAAATAAATCCTATGATGACACATTTAGAACACGTGGTTTAAATACCAGGTGAATGGGGGGAAAGGGATTGTTAGTGATGGAGACTGAGAATCCCATTGCTAGCAATATACCCAACCAGGTCGACCTCCTCGCGGTTCTCCCTGGAAACTATCGTGGTTAATTCCTGATGAATTCATCATGATAGGCTAACTGGCCTGTTTTCATTCTCATCGATCACCCTTCACTGGTGCTCCGCCAGCGTATCCCGTTAGCGCAGGCGGGGTTACCATACCATTTTCACCCATCAAAAAAAAAAATACCAGGTGAAGTCAATACGGCAAGCATCCTTTGAAGGTAGTGTTTCTTTTTAATTGACAGAGTCGTTCTCAAAAGTCAAAAGTCGTTTGCTTAGGTACCTCTCTGTCCCATTCGTGTTTCTACCGTGAAGCAGTTGTGTTTACATGGCTGTGTTTCGGTTTGAAGGGTGCTATATGGCAGTGAATTTACAGGGTACATAGAAATAACACTAGTCCTCGGGAATGGCAACGTATGGGGGGCATCATGGGCGAAACAGTATACTCTGTTATGTCCATGGTACTGCTCATGTCTATAGGTGACGGTTATCACTTTCCATCAGGTGGGCCGTTAGGTTTTTTAGTTGCATAAAAAAAATAAACTATTGACCCGATTTTGATAAAATTTCTATGGGACCATTTCGTAAAATTATTCTTTCAGATAAATAAAGATTTTTTAAATCAGTCCTCCTTTTCTGAAGTCGGTTAAAAAGTAAACAATTTCGGAAATCTTAGTTTAGAGTTACATTGATTTTGATAATTACTTTTTTCTTTTTACTCCAGCGTCTGCAAACGAAGCACAGCTCCATCGTTTGGGCTGTATTTTAGAAACTTTAGATTTACGTAGGTACCTACCGGCAACATTGCCAGGGATCCTTTAAGGAAAGGCGCGAATTAATGCTCATGGATTTATTGGTAGAGAAAAACAGGTTTGGTTTTGTGTCGTTGCACTCGATTGCATTGGCGGAGGCAAAATTCTTTTTGCGGGATAAAAACTTTGGTTCGAATCTTCGGTCCCAAATTTATGTTTTTGTGCATAGTGAAATAGGTCCAGAAATTAAGCTTACGTTTCGTTCGCTATAAATTCTATTATAAAAGTCTAAAAGAACGACATTTTAATATATTTAAACGGTATATTTTATGTAATTTTAGCATCAACCAGACAGACTTTGTACAAAAGACGTTTGTTTGGCCACCTCAGTCCCATTCGTGTATCTACCGTGAAGCAGTTGTGTTTGCATGGCTATGTTCCGAATTGAAGGGTGGGATATGGCAGTGAATTTACAGGGTACAGTTGCATAACACTTGAGTACTCAGGAACGGCAACGCATGGGTGGTATCATGGGCGAAACAGTATACTCTGTTATGCTCGTGCTACTGCTCATGTCTATAGGCGACGGCTACCACTTTCCATCAGGTGGGCCGTCAGCTTGTTTGCCATTCTAAGTTGTATAAAAAACAAATTAATGTTTCGTTCGGCCACGAAATTTCGGAAAATATCTTACGGTAGACCCTATGATTCTAAACAAACTGAACGTTATTTCTATTATTTGTTACCTTATAGCACCTTAACCAATCACTATGAAATTTAGTAAACATATCCTGGCGGGAGAAAGGGATTGTTAGCAATTGAGTTTAATAGCCTCCTTGCTAGCAATATGCTCTATTAGGTCCACCTCCACGTGGTTCCCCTTGGAAACCACCGTGAACAATTCTTGTTGAATTTGTCACGATGGGCTAACTGACCTGCTTCATCCTCACCTATCATCCTTCACTGGTGGGCCGCCGGTGTATACCGATAGCGAGGGTGGAGTTACCATTCCATTATCACCCATTAAAAAAAAAACATATCGTAGCCACGCCAAGTCGCGAGTATAAGTTAGTTTTACTATGTTACTAAATTACCTACTTGTATTTTGTAAGTCTGTAAGCAATATTGAGTCACAGGTAAATCCTACTTAACTATACAGCAAGCAAATCTATCCTGAGAAGCAGGAAAATAATGAGGAATGAATGGAGTGTGTTACATCATGTATAAGCGTGATATCATCTTATAGTCATCACAAAATAGAATAACAAGACACCATCATCCATTATTATATTAAGTCTTTTTTGTATCAGCTATAGAATTAGAAAAAAAAAAAACATTTTTTTATACAACTTAGAATGGCAAACAAGCTGACGGCACACTTGATGAAAAGTGGTAACCGTCGCCTACAGACATGAGCAGTACCATGGACATAACAGAGTATACTGTTTCGCCCATGATACCCGCCATGCGTTGCCATTCCTGAGGACTCAGGTGTTATTCCTCTGTACCCAGGTACTCTGTACCTCAGTTTACAGGTAAACTTACTGCCAATTTAGTGGGACACAATCACGTCATGAAATCGTATTGTATGGTAAAAATAACTGTCTTGTATAAACTTACTGGTAAGCAGTTATCTGTACTACTAGAAAGCCTATATTAATTTCTGTAAACATATATTTGGCAATACATAATAATATATCATGGGCGAAACAGTGCACTCTGTTATGTCCATGGTACCGCTCATGTCTATAGGCGAAGGTTACCACTTTCGATCAGGTGGGCCGTCAGCTTGTTTGCCATTCTAAGTTGTATAAAAAAATACGATCCTTTTCCTACAGGACAGGCACAACCTAGTGTAGGAATCAGTGTTTGGAACTTTGTGCTTATTCCTCTTTAACCTCTTACACTAACTACCAGACTGTACAAAATGAGTACTTGACTAGTAAGTCAAGTAGACTCATTTTGTACAGTCTGGTATTAATAAAAAAAAAACTGTCTCAGAGACAGTATTACGACTATGACCTATATTTTGCGTTGCGAACGATACTATTTTTATAACATTACAAAGAAATGTTTTATTTTCAAATTTAAATTGTAACACAATGAAGAGCCACGCGCGCGACACTTCGGAGTGATCCAATTTTCAAGAGATGACAAGCGATTCGTAAATACTCATAAAACTCTCTATATTTATAAAAAAAAAAAAAACTAATTAATTTCGGAGATGTTGGTAAACAGACATATTTACCGTATGCGACTCAGTCCACGTTGACAGAGGTTAAAAAACTCTCGTTATTGGCAAAGTATAACGGATTCTGAGGAATTGTTTGAAATGATGCCCACAGCCACCTTTTATCGTCGCACCGCTCGCCATCGACAGGGAATTCATCCTCGCACGCTTGAACCTAAATAGTCACGTACAGTGTGATTTCAAAGGAATTTTCTACCGCGAACGCTTAGGCTGTAGGATGAGCTCCCTGCCGAAGTCTCCCCTAAAGACTACTGTATGGGGTTCTTCAAAAAGGGTATATTAAGCTTTTTTCAGAGTGGGCAACGCGCACGTGACACCCACAGTGTTGCAGGCGTCCATAGGCTACAGTGACCTTTTACCATTTAGAAGGGTTGTAAATTTGTTTACCCCTTAAACAATGTGAGTTATATTAGCAATCCGCCCTAATTCCCCGCATGTGGCATTAATGTTCAAATTCAATTAAAATAAAGCAAAAAATACAGTCCATGTTTCTCGTGATAATGTAGGTTTCTAAAGAAAGAGAGGAAAAAATCATTTATTGCCAACAACAAATAGGGTTACAATAATTATGAATAGAAACTTCACATTTGTTATTGCCAAAATGGCCGCCACTCAACTGTGCGCTGGAGCAAATTAATTGCTATAGCGCTAAAATTCTGTGGTGGAAAGTTTTTTTTGAAAACCTAGTTTTTTTTTTAGTTATCCGTTACAACAAAATCAATCTTTACCCAACGGTACATTACATGTACGTGTGTGATTTTCGAAGGAGTTTACTCCCTTATCAGTCCCATATTGAGAAACGAAACAATTAAAAGTACTGTTTTTTTTGCTCTACCAATAATTCTAGATAGTCGATTTTTGTTCCACAAAAAATACATCACCGACTTCAATCATAGCCAAACCAGTTATTTTCATTTAAAAACGAAATTATTGGAATCGATTTTGATGGGATCAAACTGAAAATATTACCTTTCAGATAAAAAAAAAAAAAAGAATTTCCCAAACCGATATAAATGACATCGTCATTATGAGTTTACAAACATACCAAAAGTCCAAGGAAATTAAGAAACTTATCATTTTTTTAAATCGGTTGAATAAAAAATCATAAATTATTGGCAAATGTATACGGAATCCACGCGAAGCTAAGCTATCTATTAGCACGTGTATAGTTCGCACAATGACTTCCCTATCCTATCGTAACGCAAATTTTTGGCGGCGCTCCAAACTCCTGATTACTTTATTCACTAACTTGTTTACATTGTTTTGATCTATCCAAGATTTATATCAATTTAGTCCAATTATTTACATGGAAGGAGATTGTTAGTAACGGACTAACCGTTCCATTACACGTCCGTACTTGGCGCGATTCCGATCGCGATTGATACACGTTTTTACTCGTTTACGTTCTTGTATAATTTTGTTGACATAGTGTTGCCATTTGTTAAAAAAAAATACATATAATAGGTAGTCTATTATAACAAATCTTTTAAATAAAAATTTAATAATATTTATTTAACATTTTATTGCACCAACATAACAGGATTTGTGTGGGATTTCACTAAGTTTTTAAAAATGGGCAACGATTGAGCGCACCGTATAGAGGTAGGGAGTGAGTTCCACAAACGAACTGCTTGCACGGAAAAGGATTTGGAGTAGAAAGAGGAAGAATGGGTAGGAATTATGAGTTGGAGGTTGTCAGTACTACGTAAAGAATAAGAATTAGAATTGCTCTCTCCAAGAAATATATGTAAAATAATGTACTTTAAATATATATAAATATATATATATATATATGTTTATATATAATAATGCGCTACCCAAATATTGTCTGGAAGAGATTGCTTAGCGATTAGGCCGCCTTTTGTATCATTTCTCATTACAATCAACCCTTCTTTGTATGATTTTTTTATTGATGAAATAAATCAAGGTGATATAATTTATGTTCAAAATTTAAAAAAAAAAAGGTAAATACTTCATTGTCCGTCCATCCGTCCGTCTGTCGGTCTGTCCAAACCCTTTTTCTTAGCAACGCGTGGAGGTATCAATTTGTAATTAATATCATACACTCAGGTCTGCAATCTCTTGAAGCGGTGAAAAATACAAGCTTCTAAATCGACGCAATCGAAAGATACGGCCGTTTATGTACCATTTATATCGCATATTTTGACATTCGCAAAGGGAATCAGAAACCTAAAGGATACTTTCAGTTGACCTGAATCAAGAAAATTTGGCAAGAAGCAATGTCATGTAGTTATTTCACAAAAAAAAAAAACTTGATGACTTTGTACGGAACCCTCGTTGCGCGGGGGGAAAGGGATTATTAGCAATGGACAGCCCCATTGCTAACAATATGCCCTATTAGGTCGACCTCCACGTGGTTCCTCCTGGAAACCATCGTGAACAATTCTTGTTGAATTCTTCACGATGGGCTAACTGACCTGCTTCATCCTCACCTATCATCCTTCACTGGTGCTCCGCCGGTGTATACCGATAGCGCGGGTGGGTTTACCATTCCATTATCACCCATTAAAAAAAAACCCTTGTTGCGCGAGTCCAATTCGTACTTCATCGGCTTTTTTATAACACAGGGAGCAAAACATGCGGCTCACCTGATGGTAAGTGACTACCGCCGCCCATGATCACTTACAAACACCAGAGCCATTGCAGGTGTGCTGCCGGCCTTCTAACTTTACCGTAAATCATGACTTTTCAATGACGAAAACTATTAGTCAATAACTTGCAATTAATTTGACGTTACACGTGTATGATATCTTGTATGGGAAGTAATTATAAAAAAAAAAATTGATAACATAGAGAATTAATGTATGATGCGCGAATAACTATCGATTAATCAATAAATTATTATAATATTTGTGTATTGATCACGCGAGCGACACAGCGGGATACAACTAGTATTATAAATGTGAAAGAGAGTTTATTTGTTACTCTTTGGTATTTTTTATTATAATTTAAATTAAATAACATAATTTAAGCTTTTTCCTCTTTATTAATTTAGTTAAGGAAAACACTTGCATTTCGTAACCGTTGGGGCGTGGAACCGGTTTTTCCGGTATAAATACCGGTTTTGAGGTTAGAAAAATCTGGATCACGTGATTAATATTTTTTTAATTTTGGTATACTTTTTACGTCCCGAGTGGCCGGATTAAGAAACATGACTATACCTCTTATATTATAGACATGTATGATATATATATATATATATATATATATATATATATATATATATATATATATATATATATATATATATATTTTACTTCTAAAAGTATAATATGAATATTTATAAATATTGAAGTGGAGAGATTTGTTGAAATGTAATGAATGAATATACAGTATACTTTATTTGTATTATACAATATAGGGGAACAAGCAAGATAACAAATGTAACGATACAGTTGTACAAGTACAGTGAGGCGGTCTTATTGCTGGGAGCAATCTCTTCAAGACAACCTTAGGGCAATGGACTAATTGTTGTACAAGTAATATGTAACTGCAATAGTTAAATATTACTTACGCTTTAAAATTTAAATATTAACATTTTATTTCTTTTCGCAAACAATTGATTAAAATATGCAAGATATAATATTTTTCATACAACATATTATTTCATAAGAACAGTAACGGAAAGTATTTAGAAAAACCGAAAAAGCCGGATACCCGGTTGCAAGTGACTGTCGAACATGAAAACAATGTTTCTTATGAATTCTATATCCTAATGCAATAAAGTTAAGCTTGAAAATGAGGTATTAAATTAATGGAAACTCAATTAATTTACCAGAGGAAGACTGTACAAAAGTCGATTGCTAGGGTACATCTGTCCCATTCGTGTTTCAACCGTGAAGCAGTTGTGTTTGCATGGCTGTGTTTCGGTTTGTAGGGTGGGATATGGCGTGAATTTACTGGGTACAGAGGAATAACACCCGAGTCCTCAGGAATGGCAACGCATGGGGGTATCATGGGCGAAACAGTATATACCATGTTATGTCCATGGTACTTTCTGCTCATGTCTATAGGCGACGGTTACTAGTTTCCATCAGGTGGGCCGTCAGCTTGTTTGCCATTCTAAGTTGTATAAAAAAAAAAATGCAAAAAAATAAAGAACTAATTACCGAGACATCATAGAAATTAACCTTGGTTAATATAAAAAAAAAAATACTCGAAACCGGCCGTAGGTTTGAATAATAAAATCACTTATACACATTTTTTTTGCGTATTAAAATCAAATAAATTATTAACTAAATTAAATTGTAATTAAGCATTAATTTCCACACTCAAGGTTTGCTGGAAGAGAACTCTTACAGAGTTAAGCTCGCCTGTTGTACATCTTCATTCAAAATAAATTACATCAATGTAAATTTTGTGTACAATAAAGCATAAATACAATATAGCAAAAAAAAAAATGTAATACAATCGAAATAAAAAGAAAATATGTTAGCATTTCAAAATTAAAACATAATAGATAAAGTGAACACATAAATCATTTATAAACCTAGTTAAAATTATAATTACTCTGTTCAAGTCAGCGAAAATGTAAATATTAAAAATAAAAAATATACTGCATTATTCTTTTATAAAAAAAAAAAAACAAAAGTAAAATGATACACATCCACCTACCTGAGAAATTCCAATGGCACAAGAAAAGAAAAAAAAACAAACTGTTCGAAATTCGAAAAACTTCACGATAATTTTCTAGAGCGTGGACGCGTGCAATCTCAACGGAGTACACAGACATACTAAAATGACATTCGACTTCCGATAGCGCTTGGCGTTCTCCCGCGGAAATAAGGCTTCGGTTAAGTACATTCTTTTTTTTTTTAATTAGAATTTAGCGCAAGGACCAAACCGGTCTAGTTTTTCGGAAGTCGGATATGGGCTGGGGATTTTTGTACAATTATGTATATTGAGCCCTATTGAGGGGTTTTGCCAATAGTTGCTACGTTTGGCAGGCGAGTTGGCAAGCGCAGTTAGGCTTTGATGATATTTTTACAGTAACACTGCTGCCTATCCCTCGACTATTAAACTCCGTTAGTCGCTTCTTTAAAAGAGTGAACGAGAAAAGAACATTCATTAAACTAATAGAGAATAGAAGAGGCAAAATGCTGCGCCACCTTATACGACATGACGATTTTTTTAAGAGCATAGTAGAGGGAAAAATAGAGGGCAAAAGAGGAAGATCGAGGAATAACTACATGGGACAGATAAAAGAAACGCTAGGTGCCATGTCGTGTAGGGAGGTCAAGGATATGGCCCGGGAGAGAGTTGACTGGAAGAAGATGCATGAATTAGTTGCACCGACAAGAGGAAATTTTTAAATGAAGAGAAAGAGAGTTGCCTTTTACGACATTCACGGGAAAGGAAGGGGTAGGCAATTCTATGCCGGGACCACATGGCCCACGGTTTGATATTATGGTTAGATAATACAATCTATATAAGTATACTGTATCACGCTGTGGTATCATTATCACATTCACATTATTGGTTCCTGACATTGTATTGATAAAGTGAATTGCATTTGTTTATCAATGTGACACATATATACGTATATAGTAGGTAATATATATATATATATAGTTTTTTTTTGATGGGTGAAAATGGTATGGTAACCCCGCCTGCGCTAACGGGATACGCTGGCGGTGCACCAGTGAAGGGTGATCGATGAGAATGAAAACAGGCCAGTTAGTCCATCATGATGAATTCATCAAGAATTAACCATGATAGTTTCCAGGGGAACCGCGAGGAGGTCGACCTGGTTGGGTATATTGCTAGCAATGGGATTCTCAGTCTCCATTACTAACAATCCCTTTCCCCCCATATATGTATATATAGTAGGTAAGTATATATGGTTATCATGACAAAATGCAATTTACGCAATGCAATAGAAAAAAAAAACTTCTGTTTGCCTATATTCATTAAGATATATAAAAATGCATATAGACCAGTGGTTCTCAAATTTTTGTCTCACGATTTAGATTTGACCTTCGTTCAGCTAATATTGAATTTCTAGTAATTGTGGTTGACCCCTGGGGTCAATGGCCTCCCTTAAATTTAGATACCATCAATGTAGACTAAAAGAACACAACAAGAACTAAAATATAGAACGAGGTCCTTCAAACGTAGCGTAAAAAAGCTTAGCGAGCCGGCAACCTTTTTTTTTATATGCAACTTAGAATGGCAAACAAGCTAACGGCTCACCTGATGGAAAGTGGTAATCGTCGCCTATAGACATGAGCAGTGCCATGGACATAACAGAGTATACTGTTTCGCCCATGATACCCCCCATGCGTTGCCATTCCTGAGGACTCAGGTGTTATTGCTATGTACCCTGTAAATTTACGCCATATCCGAAACACAAACATGCAAACACAACTGCTTCACGGTTGAAACACAAATGGGAAAGAGGTACCCAAGCAAACAGCTTTTGTACAGTCTCCCTCTGGTATAAGTAGTGTAATGTACTTTGTAGTCGCATATTAATTTTGTTATATGTGAATGACAATACAATTTTTTCGTTTGTCGAGCAAAATTCTGCTTGCTACTTTTTTGCTCCACCTGTGAGGACTTCAGACGGATCGTGTGCTTGATTGCAAAATGCAGTAGGCGAAAATTCTGTGCCTCTAGTGAGAAAGGGTTCAATTCAAAATGGCCACTTTTCAGGAGAGCCAAAAGACTATTTTAAATAAAGAAAAAAAATTCTGCTGCTTTTATTATTTGCTAATTGAACAAGTCAATGATTGCATTTATAGTAATTTTTTCTCCTCTTTCTTATGAAATTGTCGGTTTTTGTGTAAAACCTATAGTTTTAATAATAATTCTATTATACCTAATCACAAATAACAAAAATATTAAAATTATGATGTGAAAATAGTTTTAAGTTGAATTAAAACTATTTTATTGAAATATTGAAGAAAAACAATGTTGTGTATTTTACGCTATAAAAAATAATCGCTATTAAATGGTGTAAAAGGGTTCAAATCGAACTGATTCATTTTACACGAAAATAAATTCATATTTAAAGGATGGTTCTAAGTATCTTGTCATTTTTGGCACTATTTTTGTAAAACATTGTAGTTTTATTTGTAATTATGACTTTTTTATCACAAATATTTTGTTTGTAAAATATTTTGTAGCTTTTATACATGTTTACTATCTCTATTGTTTTTAAAGATATCGTTACGATTCTTATACCATTCGAAAGAGAAAAATTTGCTTATTTAAAGTAGCCTAAAAAAGAAAAAGGCTATAACTTGAGTTATACCTTTCTCACTAGAGGCACAGAATTATTAATAGAACTCTGTCAACAGAGAGTTGCTACGTGATCTAATTTAAAATCTTTTTTAAATTCATAAACAAAATCTGTTATCATGTGGTATTCAAACATGATGTGTACAGTTAGTATTCCCAAAGAGGGTTGACGTCAGGAAGGTGGCCGGTCGTAAAACTATAAGCCAAATCTTTTTGTGATATTGATAAAAAATATATTATGTCGACTCCAAATGATAATTGGGATAAGGGTAGGAGGATGATGATGATGATACATATATATGTATATGTGTATATATATATTTCAAAAACTAAGCTTCTGAACCGATTTTGTTATTAATGGAATGGCCCCATAGCAATATACCCTCTCAGGTCGATCTCCACGCGGATCCCCCTGGAAACCATCATGTTTCTTTCTTCTCGAATTCTTGTCGAATTCATCATGGTGGGCCGCATGCAGGCAGCATTCATTCTCACCTATCATCTTCCACTGGTGCCTCGTCGGTGTATACCGATAGCGCGGGCGGGTTTACCATTCCATTATCACTTAAAAAACAAAAATTCGTCGACACAGTCCGTCTACGGCGGCCCCTACCGACATTCTTAATTCTTCTTTCATCCATATTTACTATTCTTATGGTAACATTGAACTACATAGCAAATTATTAAAAAATATTTACATAACACATATTTTAATGTGTATTGACGATTTGTGATGTAATTGAATAACAATTTTTACCAGTATTTATTGGTTTGACAATTTGAAACATGTTATGTTCATTATTGTGATTATCTGTATACTGCTTAATATATTGTATGTGTGTATGTGTATTGTGTATGTAAATTTACTAACATTAGTTTTTAAGAATATTGTTACTAATAAATATTTAATGGACCAAAAAGTCTGAAATAAAAAAAATATTATATATATATATATATATATATATATATATATATATATATATATATATATATTATAATGTCCACATTGGTGGAAGCGTAGTGGACCGGATCGTTAGACATAACAATTACGGTTAAATACCACGGTGGCCTAGTACCCTAGAGGGGTTATGCCAGTAGTTGCCACGCTTGGCAGGCGGGTTTTTTTTTATGGGTAAAAATGGTATGATAACTCAGCCTGCGCTAACGGTATACGCTGGCGGAGCACCAGTGAACGGTGATAGATGAGAATGAAAACAGGCCAGTTAGCCCATCATGATGAATTCATCTGGAATTAATCGTGATAGTTTCCAGGGAGAACCGCGAGGAGGTCGACCTGGTTGGGTATATTGTATGCAATGGGATTCTCAGTCTGAATTACTAACAATCCCATTCCCCCCTGGCAGGCGGGTTAGCAACCGCAATTAGGCTTTAAGACATGTTTTAGTGGACTCGCCCTCTTAGTGGAGTCTCACGACACCCACGGGAAAGCCTATTCTATGCCGGAACCACACGAATAGCGAATAGTAAACAGTATTATATAATACTGTAATAAAACCAGATTGTAGATTAACAAATTGCGTATTAGAATCAAATGAAACCTTCCACAAGGTCGCATCGCATATTGTGTTGTGAATTATCGCATTACCACTGGCAGTGAATTGGTGTTGGATGCGGTCACATTATCACGAGTTGATGTTAAAAATATGAGTGATAATTTAAGTTCAGTTCTCGTGTAATGTAGATAGATACTCTTTATTGTTTCCTCCAAAAGATTACAATAGTAAACTTATTATAAATATAAATAATTACAAGAAATAATCACAGTGAGAAAACAATGGGCGGCCTTATCGCTAAAAGCGATCTCTTGCAGCCAACCTTTGGATGGAGAGGAGTAATTATAAACAGTCTAATTGGAGGCGCGTAGAAGATCCTATTATTTCTAAACATGGAGATGTGATACATGTAATAATGTAAATAAATTAATAAATAAATAAAGTAATTGAAATAAATAAATAAATAAATAAATAAATATTTATCACAATGAAAACAACTAGTTTATCATGGAGCAAAAAGGACTTGTTTGCTCCATACTTATTAAACAAACGAATTTGAGATGTCTTTAATAGAAATTTAAATTACGAAACTTACCCTTTTTAGAAGAAAAATTAAAATCATATCCACGTTGAATTGTTCATAATTCTGTAAATACTTATATCTTTATTTATGTATTAAAATTATGAAGCCATCTGCTACTACGGAGGAACCAAGTGTCCACCGAGAGGCAGTGTTGTCCTCTTTAGAAGTTAATGTCCTATAGTAAAGTTAGTATTACAGCATATTGTTTTTCGCTCAGGAATAAGAAATTTATCAACCATACAGTCGACCACCATGGGATCTAATCATCAGATATTTATAAATGGTTAACAGCTAAAATAATAAAAAAAAAAATGTTATCATCAATACTATTGTCTACAGATAAAGGTATTAAAGTACATTTTGCGTATTGTCATGATATAACATAATATCTAGAAACCTTGGTAAAGATTAGAGGAATTAAAAGATTTTTTGAT